GCCCCACAGAGGCCTGACTCGATGGTTGACACCGCGTTTCTGCCTACCATGGTGTTTCTTCCTCTGCACCACCCCTGGTTTCCCTTCCCCGGTGCTTAGAGATGGCTTTACATCCTGAAACCAGCGGGTTGCTGGTCCAATGCCAGGAGGGACAGAGGGCTTTCTTTACACAATGTTTTCTTATGCTGTTTGTCTCAAGAGCAGCAGGGTTAACAGTCTGAGTTTTGCCCAGCTGCTGCTGGAAGCATTTAGCAGCATTGCCCTACGCAGCCCAGGAGGGTAAAGCCACGCACAGGCTGCAGTACTGCCCGGAGTCCTGTAAAGGTTCCCAGAGGCGTCTTGGCTCAGGTGAAAACCAGCCGAATTAAGCAGACAAGGCTTTGAGCTTTGCTGTGCCTTTGTTCTGAGGGTGCAGCGTCCAGTTCAGAATAGTTAGTGGAAACACTTCCACTCCTAGGCTGCTTTTGAAGTTGTGTCATTAATTTTTGTTAATGAAACATGCAAATCTAGTAGATGCTGTGATTGCCTCTCAAGGAATTCAGTCCTGACAGAGCTCCAGTTGTACGTATCTAACTGGCATGTAATTTAGGGCAGATCCATCCTCATTACCTTTTTCCTCCTAGTCTCTTATGGCTTAGAATATATTTACCCTGTGCTGGACTGCTGGGAAACCCACTCAGTTGCCATCCTTTTTAGCATACCACGTCAAGAGGGGGAAAGAAAAGGCTGGGCTTTATTAAACAGTGAAGCTGAAGATGATTACAGAGCTATGACACGACCTGCTGCTGGCAAATTACCCTGGGAGGGCTTTGACAAGCCAAAAAGCCTCCTGCCCTGGCACTGATAGCTCACGATAGTCCCATTCAATGATTCTGAATTGCAGATGCTGAGATCACTTCTCACTGCACTTCTGAAGGCTTTGCTTGCATGAGATTTATACCTTCTGCCTCCAAAATAGTAGAAAACTATTTAGTACCAACATTATACTCTAGTAGTTCATGGTTTTATTTTTATGGCGATGATCTGCCTGCTTCAGGTTTACATCCTGACAACAAATTTCTGTTCCCTTTTTAACCTTCTCAGTGTGCCCAAATGTCCCAAACCCCTCTGGTGAGGGGCACTGCACTCACGTGTCAGCCCTTCCACACCCCCTGTGTGCTGCTGCCACCCAATTTGCAGTGATTTGAGAGGCAACATATGAGTGAAGAGCCTGTGCAAATGGCTGGTGTAGCGAGATGGCTGAAGATGCATGTTGTAACCACAGTCTGTGCAGAAAGTGAAATCACTGAATCATCACAGAATCACAGAATAGTTTGGGCTGAAAGGGACCTTAAAGATCACCTAGTTCCAATCCCCTGCCACAGGCAGGGACACCTTCCATTAGACCATGTTGCTCAATGACCTGTCCAACCTGGTCTTGAACACTGCCAGGGATGGGGCAGCCACAGCTTCTCTGGGCAGCTTGTGCCAGCACTTCACCACCCTCATAGTGGAGAATTTCTTCCTAATACTTAGTCCAAATCTATCCTCTTGCAGTTTAGAGGCTTGTCCTTGTCCTACCCCTACAGGCCCTTGTAAAAAAGGTATTAAAAAAAAAAAAAAAGAAGAGCTGAAGGGTTTTTTTTTTTTGTCCTGTGTGGAGATGGGGTGAGCATGGCCTGGCCATCAGTGTCACTTCCTGGGCAGCCAGCAGGCAAGTGCCAGCATCCCTTTGACACCCAAAAGTTCAAGGTGGAAGAGGTAAAATCTGAACATTTGCAGGTGAATGTTGAGGAGATGGGTTATCTTTTAAGGATGACTTGTGTAAATAACAGGCACCAAAGTCTCGCTCCTCTGGCACTGATAATGCAGGAGTTCAGCCTAGCGCCTTCATTGCACAAGTGCTACCAAATGGCTTTTCATTAGGCAGGTGGAAAAAACACCACCTGCTTTTCTCAGCACCGCAGGTTATGAAATGCAAGTTTCTCAGTAAACTAACTAGACCCCACGCTGCAGGGGAGGATAAATACCCTTTATTCCACACTCCTTACTGCACCCTAAGCAGCCCAAGAAACATGGCCCCTCTTAGACCCAGCCTGGCATTTCAGTGGTTAACTTGTGCTGGCCAAGGAGTCTCATGCTATGGGCTTTGGCAAGGGTCTGAGCCCCAGTCTTTTCATGTTTTAGAATCAATAGTTTGGGTTGGAAAGGACCTTCAGATCATCTAGTTCCAACCCCTAAAATATTCTTCATAAAGCCTGAGCTGCAGAGCCCACAGACAAGGCACTTCCATGCCAGTGGTTCATCACATCTGTACCCCTGATGCCGGGACCCCTGCACAGCACAGGACAAAGCTCTGTGGATCCCCTGGAGCTGTTAGACTTCCTGACTTCAAGTATCACCACCCTGGGACTTGCTTTGCCTAAGCCCATGTGCATCTGTCAAACAATCTCAGGCACATGGAAGGAATCACCAGTATCATTATTCTGCATATTGTGACAAATTATTTTACATTTTCATGAAGAAAAAACTGCAAACCTCACAAGAAATGAGCATTTGCCATGCCTAGCTGTGCAGGTCAGGCAGACTTTCCAGCATGTGCTGCCATAAAGGTTAAGCACTCAATAATTCAAGTGTCTTCCACATAGAGTAATAAAACATCTCATGATGCATCCAGGAGCAGCTGCTTAGAAAACATAACTGTCTTCTAAAGTTATTTTCTATTTATAAGACTTAGAGAGAATGATGTTTTCAAGTTAACGTAACTCGGAGCTGACGACTTCCGTCTCTCAGGCTTTTTCTACTGCTTAAATTATAACTTTTATGCTTGCAGTAGAAAACTGCTGAAAATGCATTTCTTGTGTTGCAAATGATGCAAAAAAATGCCTTTTGCAGATGTTTGATGTCACAGATGTTCAGGAGCGCAAAGCTTAAACAAAGTAAACCCTAAAAAGGGGTGTGACAATTAAAAACATACTGCTTGCAGTTGTAACTTTTCAGAGACATACTGAACACATACAGGAACATAGTTCTGATTTCAGGATGATTTCAGCCTTAAGGATGTACTTGCAGTCAGTACCCTGGAGTCACTCCTACAAGACATACATACATATTGCTGATAGACATTTGGATCTTCTACCCAAGCCCACAGTTTTTATTAAAGCTCCCTTTTAATAACCAACAAGTGAACAAAACAATCCTTGCCACAAACCTGAAGGTGACCAGCATGTCCCAGAGATGCCTTTGGGCACTGCTGCTTGCTGTCCCCCCTGCCATCCCCAGTACTGAGCTCTATTACCAGTACCCAGTTATCTTTGCAGAGACGTCAAGGGCTGTTTGACTTTCAGCATCAACTAGTTCAAGGAAGTTAGGCATCTGAAGTTCCAAGATGTTCATCTACTGACTGAATAGTCTGGAAACTCACTTTTAGCTCTTGTCTACAGCTATACCCAACCCAGCAGATACTCCTTTTTGTTCTTAAAATAAATGTGGGAACCCAAGGGAAGCAGCAGCACCCAGAGAAGCCAGCCCACTCGGCAAAGTGTTGCACACAAATAGGGAATGATAATAAAATACCATTTTTTATGGTTTGGTTGTTTTGTGTTTTTTTTACCATCATGTAGAAATAGAGATCAGTGGAAGCCAGAGGACATTGGCCCCAGTTATAAGCAGTCTGGGTGTGAGTAAGCTGGTGGGATTACCCTGTGAAAGACCCAGAAGGCTCTCTTCTAGGAAACACTCCACGTGCAGCACTACATGCTTAGATACAGCATTTGCAGGCCTGGATGTCGGCAGGGTTTTGTTGCTTTACTTGTATTAAAGAAAGGCTTTTTAAGCAGAGTTACAATGCATTCACACCAGACCAGCTTTGATGGGTACATGCAGTGAGAGGAGCCCTCTGTCTAAGAGGCAAGCACACACCAAACCGCGGCATGCATTTTGTAACATCATCCGGGCAGCCTCAGAGGCTGTTTTTCCCCTTTGTCTTAAAACACAATTTGGCAGCTCTCAGTGACCAATCCCTCCCCTGGAGTGTGCAGCTCCCTGCCTAGGAGAAGCAGCAGCTGCCCTCACAAAGACCTCAGGTGGTCTTTTCATTTGGCAGCGATTTACTTGTAGCTCTTGCTTCAGGATAGTTTCAAAGAAGACAGGTCGAGGGTCCTGACTACAAAGAGATTTGGAGAGGGCACTTTGACAGTTCCTCACCATTGTTCAGGCTCCCCGTTTCCGAAGGCAATGACTCAACACACCAGGACTGGCAGGGAGCCTCCAGCTTCTCAAAAACTGGGTAATGAGATTACAGGAGCAGCTCTCGGGGCTTTTGCTCTTCACTGCAGAAGAAACCTTTGCACTTGTAAGAACTTTGTGGGCCTCTTTGAGGCCTTCTGATTATGAGCATCTCTTGAGGGCTGTCCATTTGGTAGGAAGCTGAGCATACCTCAGGTGAAAAACTAGAGGGACAAAACATGAATCCAAGAAGAATGCATATAATTTTTAAGCCTTCTTGGATAATTCATTACTCTTCAGATATCAAGTAATGACAAATGAAAGGCAAAAAGATGTGTGGTGACTCCATAAGCAGAGAAGAAATAACACATTATGTGTTTGCTCATACCAAACACACAGACTGTAATGTTTAAGAACGTGTTTGCACCAAGCTGTTTATAATAGTCAGAAATCATTTTTGCTGAGAAAATCAATGTGTGGCATTTAATCCCACAAAGACTCAGGTTAGGATGTGCCTCCTCTCTGAGAGAACACGTCTTTGCAGCTTTCATTCGTCCTTGCAGAGATGGTCCAATAATGGGATGTGGTCTTAGAGGGGCATCAAAATTTGTCTCTGCTTATGCAGTAGCAGCTGTCAAGGAGACATAGGAATGAAGAAAAATACATGCAAACCTCGAGTCCAAAAGTAAAAGATTGTACTGATAGGACTCCAGGGGCTGTCAGATCAAAAGCTGCCACCCCTCCATCAGCACTGCCAGTTCCCACGAAAAGACCAGCCTTATGGCTCCTGCATATATTTATGCAGAGATTTATTAACTACAGTTATACAATACGAACATCAGGATTCATCTCCTTGAGATACTTAATTAAAAGCAAACTGTTTGGGAAATTCAACACATATTTCCCTCTATGTTTCCACCCAATCTAGTTTCAGAAGAGCAACTATATGGGATACAAACAGTCCTAGGCACCGCACAGCATATTAGCAAAGTTTAAACCTCACACCCAGCAACACAGGCTTAACTCTAGTAAAGCAGAGCAGGAATAGATTCACATTTACCAAAAATGTAACTGAGTTACATGGAGGATTCCAAGTAGGACTTGGGTGGGAATTAGCTTCAGTGTAAAAGTTAGAGAAGTAAAAAAGCAAGTACACAAATCAAAGTACACAGTTCTTCACAGTCATCTCAGAGGTGACGGGAATGGCGGCTGAAGAAAGTCAGCTGCAGAGAGCAGTCACTCACTATGCAGAGAATGCCAAAATACTCAGTTTCAATATCTGAAGGCTGCACAGGGGAAGAACTACTCTACCAGGATTGTATCAACGCTCTCTTGGATGAGATCTGACTCCAGTATACATTCATCTAAGTGGTCTTGAGGTAAACTGGAGCTCTTGCCTATGCTCTCACTGTCACAGTAAGGATGAAACCTGGGGGTTGCAGGGCTCTCCAGCCGCTGGCAGCGTCCGTATTTGTGCTGTTTCCCTGTGTGTGTGTACATGTGCTCAAGCAGCTGGCTCTTCCGGAAAAACGTGCGGCTGCAAATGGTACAACTGATTTTTCTCTTTCTTGAGAAAGAAAAATTGCAGTTCAACTCCACTGGTTCATGGTCCTTGGAGATGAGTGAGAGCTGGCTGATCTGCAGAGGGTCCAGGTCGCTGCACCTTGGATGCTCCAGCTGATGGGCATCCTCCTTCAGGAGGAAGGTCCCGAGCCGGTGGCCATCCCTAACCTCCCTGTCCTCAGCCAAAGGCTGCACCTCTCCCAGGTCGCTGCTCTCGAGGATGGAGGCTGGCACGCCAAACGGCAGTGAGCCCGAGACATGGGTGTGCAAGTGCTGCCGCAGTCCCCCCCGGGAGCTGAAACGCTCCCCGCAATAGTGACACAAGTGCACCTTGAGGCTGGCCTTAGCAAAGATGGGGCTCGCTACCTCTGGAGAAGGATGGGTGCAGCTCTGGGACACCACAGGCTCCGAGTCACACCTCTCCTGCTTTATGGAGACCGAGAGCTTCGGATGCTCTTCTGCTGGCTTAGTGACAGCAGCGGGCTGAGCGGAGGGGCAAGCAACCTGCTGGTCCAGGGAGCTGTCATCCAGGCCGATGGCCAGGGAGAGCTGCAGCTGGGGGTGATCACCTTGAGCAGCAGGCCTGCTGCCCGCCTTGGGCAGGCTCTCCTTCGTTCCCAGGCATTCCTTTGCTGGTTTGTGTGTGGTCGAGATCTGGATCCCATACAAATTTGAAGACTGCACCAGCTCTGGAGATAACACTTGGTTCATCTCAATTGCGATATGGGAGAGGTGGTCTGCATGGAGGAAGCGGATGCCCTCCTCCAGTCGGCTCTTGCTGACAGTCTGTTTCGGCCCTTTCCCGGTGTACATAATATGCAACAAGTAACTAAATATGTCAGGCTGGATGTCTGTAGGCTGAATCTTTATGCATTCACTGAAACAAGACAGATGATTAAGTACATACAAGGCTCCAAGTTCAGTCCTGATCCATCACCTGCCTGTCCATTTGCACTGTTGTTTGCTGTTAGAGCAACACTCCCTGCCAAGACAAGCAGAAGTGCTCTGCTTGCACAGCAAAGTGCCTGAGCGTGTATTTATCCCTATTATAAAAGCCATGTGCACAACTCTGTCCAGGGATTCTGAGAGTGGCCAGCTCCCAGTCTCCTCGTCACTTGCATGCACAGCTAATTGCTGCCATGCAGCACTGCAGCGAGGGAATGCAAGCTATGCATCACCAGTGTGTCCCACTCCAGTAACACAAGGAAAGAATATTTGTGTGTTTAAGTAATAAAATCAGCTGCTGCTACTGTATAATCTTTATGAGATTTGCATTTAAGTGTCAGTAAACAACATCTAGCGGAAAGGAAGTTAATTGATAGCCTCACTTCCAGATGAAGGTCTACACAGCCTATACTTAATGATTATCTTGCAAAAGTGCTGGGGGCCACGACCCTCAAAATGTAAGCGGAATGGACAAGTCGACTACAAGCAGCAAGGTCCAGATCAGAGATGAGATTAGACCTTGGCACCACTGTTGTTATACCTGCAGAACCACTCCTGAGCCAGTTGGGTGAAGCACCTGAACAGCAGCCTGAAGTTTATGATCTGTTTCAGCTCTTATCTGCAAAAGTCTCAAGAGCAGAACTGTGATAAAGGCTATGGCTTCTCCACTGCTTCAAGCCTGTGGATCTTGCCAGAAGGGACAGTCCCACCCAGCAAACTTGCCTGCAATCTAATGCAAGGTAATGGATGTACTGTGTATGGGTGGGAGGCACCTGGAAACCCCTAGATTACAAATCTGTCAGGTACTCACTGCAGGAGGACTGTGGTACTTACACGTTTATTTTCTCCCATCACACAAATGTCTCCTATTTAAAATGTGGGACCTGATATTGGCGTATACAGACTAAGAGGGTGGTTTTAAATGACAGCACATTCTGGACTGGGAGCGTTTGGAGCCAAGGCATGTGATGGGTTAGGAAAATGATCTTAGGGCACCTAAAATCCCCACTTTAGACTTTAATACCTTTAGAAAGTGGAAAATGTGTGAAGCTGGGCAGAGTACTTAAAAGGTAGAAGAGCTGTGTGTCCTTACCTCGTCTGATGGATAAATATCATCTTAAAATAGTTTGAAAAAGCAGCGAGCACCGCTCTGTGGGCTTTGAAGTAAACATCTCCAATGGCAACTGTGCAGTCACACAGAAAGCCAAACTCCCGCTGCATGTTCAGCTGCTGGAGGAGGAAGACGCTGTGGCCGGTCGCATCCATGGTGAGCCTGAGAGCAAGAGCACAAGGCGTTTGTTCATCTCATGAAGCAATCGCACAGCTCGCGAAGGCTCCAATGTGGGTTTCTCACCACTGAAACGAGCTGGGCGCCCTCGCAGAGTCCATTTTCCGCTCCAGCCGGTCCCTGCACTCCGATCTAATTAATCTCTCCTACACCACCGCCGGTGCGCAGGCCCGCATTAAATGCGCCCAAACCCTACCCGGGATTTTCCCACGTGCCGGGCTGAGCTGTTTCTCCTACACATTAACTACGCTCCGTGGTGTGCGGCACTAACTTTAAACCTCGCTCGCGTTTTCGCTCTGCCCCTGGATCGTGCTCGGTGCCGAACGGCCCACGGCGATCGCCATCACTGGGCCGTGCAGGGGGTGTAGGAGCCGCGGGGCTGGCGGCGGAACCCGACAAAGCCCCATTGTGCGGAGCTGAGCCGGCCCGAGCCGGCCCCGCCCGCGGTGCTTTGACAAGAAACGCTGATACTTGCTACTGTTCAGCCCAAAACTATTGTGCGGGGGCAGGCGGCGGTGGAGCGGAACCAGCACCCTGCCCTGCCGTGGTCCCCGCGCCCGCGCAGCCGCTTACCCCCGCGGAAGCGCAGCGCTGAGCCCGGCGGATGGGGTGGGCGCTGCCCCCCACCCGCTTCCTGCCTCCGCCGCCGGCGCTGGGCCGGGTCTGCCCCCGCCGCTGCTGCAGGAAGAAGTGAGCGCGGGCCCGTGCGCGGCTGCTGCGCGGGCGTAGGCGCTGCGCGGTTGCTGGCGGCGGTCACCGCGCCCGCACCCCCTGAGGGCGGGCGGGAGGGAGGGAGGGACTGGGGGCGGTTGTTTTCCGCCTGCAGGGACCTCACCGTGGGCTGGGGCACTTCGCGTCTTCAGTCCCCCCATGAGAGGTTCCGCCTGCCGAGCTCCTCAGCCGTTGCTATGAGTGTGGTTTTGTTGTGCTAGCTTTTGGTTGAGGGTTGGATTTTTTTGCCATTTTTTAAACAGAAAAACCCGTGTGTAACAGGCGCCGCCCCGGTCTGCCTGCACAGGAAAATGGACCGAAGATACGATCTGTGTTTTTCACCACCGTCTGCGGCCTAAGAGTTTTCTTTAACCACCGGTGAATGGTATAGACGCACCGTTTCTCGGCCGCCCCCCCTGTCTCTTCCTAATTTTTAACCCAGGGTTATGCTGGGTGAGAGCAGCCACGCTGGGTTGGGTGCAGCTGGGTGCCCCAGGGCCTGGCAGAGGACAGGGTGCAGACAGGCAGTGCCACCCACTCTCAGACCTCCCGCCTCTGTGCGCACCTTTAGACGGGTCCTCAATCCAGTCTTTGAGGCGTCTTTCCCATGAGTTTTATCCAATTGCTCTCTGAACCCGTTTAAAATTCCAGTCCCTGCAACCCTTGTTGTCAGCAGGTTGTCTTTGGGATGGAAAAGGGAATGGAAGTTGTTCTTGATGTGCTCTCGCTGTTATTAGTGCAGTTTCAGAGATTTACCATGCCCTCCTTGGTGGCATCTCACCCAGCTTGGGGTTCTGCACAAGACATTCCATGCCTTGGATCATCCCTCTTGATTTTCTCTCAGCATGTGATACTTTGCAGTTCATTCTCCTCTTGTGTGCCCATAATTGCAATTTTTTTAATTGGCCTGTGTCTGAGTGTTTAGGGCACATAATGCTCCTGCTCCTCCGAATCCAGGTGCTCCTGGGGCTGTTTCCAGTGGCATCTTGAGGAGGGCTGAGCTTGGGTGGGGGATGGAGATAAGCCAAGAGAAGATGGGGCACAGGCTCTGAGACATTTACCTCCATGCAGTATTTGCTGCTTATTCCTCTGCCCAGTAGAGCTTTCTCTTTTCCATTGCTCTATGGTTTGTCTATTTTAAATAAAAAGCTCACAAGGCTCAGGGACTGTCGTTCCCTCCTGTGTTTGCACAGCAGCATATTGAGGGGTGGTGGAGCTGTGATCCTGCTGCTACTATTTGTATTGGTAGCTGCTTTTCTTCCCGGAAATGGTTGGCAGGAGGTGGCTCAAGGTTTTGTGTTCTGTCCTGGGTTATTTAACATATTAACTTGCATACAGAGTGAGTTGCTGTTTGCAGATGGCATGTTATTTATTTAAATGATTAACAATTCACATGTTTATTTAGGTTGACTCTGGTCCAAAGGGGACTTTGAAGAGCTTCAGAGGAACTGTAGCCAAAATGATTGAAGCTATGTTGAGAAATGGATTTTGGCGTTTCAATGAAAAACACAGGTGCTGATATCATATGCCTATGCCAGTAGGTCAAAAAGGAGAGCGGGATGTAATCACTGCTGCCTTTGAGTGCTTCTGCTTGCTCCTCCTCTGTGGCCAGAAAATAATGGGGAAGAGAAGCGTGATGGTGGGCACTGAGGGAATGGAGACTGTGAAAAGGGGGCTGCTTTGTGCCTCATCTTAGTTGCGGTGGCAGAAGCTCCTGGTGTGATGCACATGAAAGGGCTGGGACAGAGTGAGAGGCTGCTTCAGCCCCATATGGGCACTCCTGGCTTCCGCTCCCCCAAGACATGTAAGGAGCTGAAAAGAAAAAGACCCTTGAACCATGAGAAAAACAACTTCTCCGTGTGATTTCAAAACCACAGCCCTGGCTTATGGAGGCCATTTATTTAACTTCCTATAAACCAGGAAAACCTACGAAGGAGTTGGGCCATGGGGGTCCTTCCACCTTTCGTGGGGGCTGGTGCCTTACAGCTGCAGAGGTTTTTTCCCTCAGCACCGCTACAGGCATCACACTCTGGAGCCACAGCAGGAGTGGGGTGAGGGGAAAAAATAAGGGTTTTTTTTGAGACACATGTTGAAAGCTCCACTTTTATTTTGTAGTGGTTAAAAAAATGCTCAGACAGACCCAGGAGGACAGGGTGATGTCCCATTTGGAAATTGGGATTATGTTAGTTGGGTTTATCCTGTTTTTTCTTGCATGATAGAGGGATGCTTCAGGAAAACCTTGTCAGTCACTGAAGCAGGGATTGATGCTGGTTCATTTTGACATTGTGACATATTGTTGCTTTTTGGTTACTTTTGTGATTCTAAAAATTTTAATAAAGTATTTTAACTTAGCTACAATTAAATTTTCCCCTTCCACTTGTCCGGAGCTAAGAGGGATCTTGGATAGCTGCAGCAAACATTAAAATGATGATACCTCTAGAAACCGGATCTGAGTGAAAGAGCTGTGCAGATGAAACACTTCCGATGCTTACGCTGAATGACAAATGTCACTTTGGGGGCGGGAAAGTCAAGTGGCAAGACGGGGGAAAGCCCGACTTGGCTTGTGATCGCTCGCAGCACTGTGGCAGGTAGCAGAGGGGCCGCCCGCAGCTTCGGGAAATCGCATTTGCTCACACGAACCAGCATGAGAGGAGCTGGATGCTGTTAGACAAGAGAGGTCTGGAGAGTGATGGGAAGAGGGCCTGGGAAAGCACCTAGAAAGATGGAAAAAAATCTCAAGAGGGCTGTCCTCAGGATGTGTGGCAGGGATCATGCCAACCCCTGTGCTCCCTGCATCACTTTAGAACTCGACGAGGGAAGGCAGTGATACTGACAAGTGAAAATTGCAGCAAAAAGGAAACACTTTCTCATGCAACTTGCAGTTGATTTTCTTGCAACGAAGCTGTAGCGCAGGCCTGAAGACTGCGGGTACACAACTGAAACGTTGGACGTCCACGTGGGTAACCGAGACTTCTCCGTTACCGCCAGTCAGGGCTGGCTTGAGGAAGGGAAGAGGACATCCCGTCCCGTGGGGCGAGCCCCGGTGCGCGGGGAGGGGGCGGGCTCCCACCCGGGAGCGGGTCGGGACCGCCCAGCAGTGAGGGTCCCGGCCGGGCGCCCGCCAGCGGATGATGCTCCGCTCCAGGTCTCCCCGAATGGCTTCGCCGGCCGAGGGAGGGGGGAGAGGCGGCGGAGGGCCGGGCTTGTGGCACATGGGGAGGGGGCGCCGCCAGCGCTGGCCCGGGCCGCGCCGCGCCGGCCCCGCCGCCTCCCCGGCGGCATGGGAGGAGAGGGGAGCGCGGCAGGGAGCCGCCCGCCGGGCCCGGGCATTGGCGGCGGCGCAGCAGCGCTGGCAGCGGCGGGGCCGGGAGCCGCCGGCCGCCGAGGGGAGGGGTCCGGCTCCGTGCGGTCGCGGCGGAGCCGGCGCTGCGGCAGCAGCAGGCGCGGCGGGGCGGAAGTCCTTTGTTGCAGCCGCGGCGGCAGCAGCAAAAGCAGCAGCGGCGGGAGCGGCGCGGGCAGTTTCCCTTCGGCGGCCGCCGCTTCCCCTCGCAGCGGGTAAGCGGGGCTGCGCGCCCCTCCGCGCCGTGTCCGGGGGCCGCCGCCGGGCGCTGGGGAGGAGGGAGGCAGGAGGCAGCGCGGCGGCCGCAGCTCCGCCGGCGGCGGGAGGTGGGAAGTGCCGAGCGGCGCCGGCCGCGGCATGGCCCGCCATAGTGTTGCGGGGGGAGCGGCGCTGCCAGGTAGGGGCTTTCCAGCCTTTGCCGGTCCCTGGCGAGCGGCCGCCGCCGTGACCTTGCGCCAGGCGGCCTGCCACAGCGCGGCACGGCACGGTATGGTACGGCACGGCGCGGTACAGCACGGCGCCGCCCGGGCTGTGCGGGGGCCGAGCAGTGGCGGCGCCGCGGTGGCGGGTCTGGCGCGGTTGTTTCGCGTTGCGCGGAGCCGGGCGGGCGCGCTCCACCTGCGGGGTGGCGGAGAGAGGAAGGGGCCGCGGGCGCGGGGCCCGTCGGCGGGGCCCGGCGGAAGCGGGTGGGGGGGTGCCGGGGCTCTCGGTGGGGAGCCGCGCTGAGAAACGAGAAGCGGCCTAGGGAGGTGCGGAGGCGCGGGGCCAGGAAGGACACGGCGCTGCCCGGCTCGCTGCGAGGCTGGAAGTCACGTTAAACATCCCCAGTGCCGTTATCGCCGGCGAGCCCTGTCCCCCCGGCAGCAGGCCAGGGGGTCCTGACCCTGCTCCCTCTGTTCTGAAAACAAAACAAAACTTCGAGCGAGTTGCAGTAGTTGAACGAAGAACTGAGTGGAGCTGCAGCCTGGAGGGAATGCTCCACCCTGCCAGGCAGCGGACTTGGGTTTCACTCGGGGCTGGCAGTGCCCAGGATCGCCTTGGAGGCGGCTGGAAAGGAAAGGGAATAGTTTTGTCACATAAAAACAAGCCTTGTGTTGCTCTGGGAGCAGTGTCGCAAGTCTCGTTCCTCAAAGGCTAGAAAAGTAGCAGAAGGAGTAGAGGGGACTGAAAACGCTGTGGGTTTGGGGCCAGGGTTTTATTCTTTTCCATTTTTAATTTTTTTTTTGTAACTGAGACTCTCAGTTACATTTGGGACAAATAGGCCTATTTGTCAGCTGGTAGATGAGTGCCGGTTCCTCTTGACACGTAGGCATTGGTAAATTGATAGCATGGGTTGGATGCTGTGTAATATTTGGTATTTACTGCCGGCTTATGTCATTTGCTTGCATTATTTTCCTTGCACTAGAGTATTGCAAGCACATACTGCAGATCTGTCCAGGGCTGCAACAGTGTGGTGTTCCTTAGGCATTTAATTACATTAAACAAGCATTCCTTTAATTAAAGGTGTTTGTTTAACATTCCTCATTACAGCTCTTGGAAAAACCCACACAGCAGCCATGAGCAGGGGGCATGGAGGCTTCTCATTTTTGCCAAATTACAACTTAAGCTTTCATGGTAAGCGGGGGAGAGGTGTTAAGACCATCTGGCCGTGGGGAAAACTGGCTAAACACGAATGGTTGCAGTGCTGGCAGAGATTTTCTTAGCAGCAGCAGCACAGCAAGTTGACTACATCATGAAGAGATTTTTCGGTGACTGGCCAGAAAACCTGAGGAGGAACAAGTCGTATTAGTTGCACTCTGCTCCTGTTCGAGGTAGCAGTGAACCAACAGGCACCGGGGTGTGTGTGTGTGTTCACAGACTGCTGCAGGAGGATGTTGGTAATGAAGACATGGGTTGGTGTGGCGTGGGAAGCCGGGAAAAGTAATAGAAGCCCCTTCTTCCTCGTAGCCGGAACATTTTGTGTGGAATAAGATCACAGATGCTCTAGCTCTGCTTGCACAAGTTTTGTCTTCATCATGCTCAACCGGTGTTGTCACTGGCACAGGAATTTGCAGCAGTTACATTGAGTGCTCATACCAACCAGTGATTTGGGTTTTTAGATACTTTCTCTACTTGAATGTGTTAATTGCTTCTTTCACAGATTTCCACTGTTGCTGACAGTGGAGAGCCCTGAAAGTAAAGGATGCACAAAGCCTTAGTAGTTACTTACCATCTGTAGGGAAACAAAATAGCTGTTCAGAATTGAGATAATGAAAGTTTCCTGATAAAAATTCCAGTGTCCTTCCCCTTAGTTGTTACAGCTGGACCTCTCACTAGAGTCCTTCCAGACCTTGCACGCATGTAGCGTGAGAAGCCATGTGTGCATTTTTCAGTTTGACCAGTGGTTCCCAGTGGTTGGGTTATCCTGCCTGCCCTCTGCTTGGGCACAGTATACACCACCACCCAGAGAGTTCTGCTGCAGACCCAGCGTGTGGGCACAATAGCTAACATAATCTGCATGAAGACCATCTATATCCTCAGATTTGTCTTGTAATTTTTTCTTCATGTGTATTGTGCCACTGCAAAACTCTCCAGAATTAGCTGGCTGTTGCTCCCCCCCCCCTCCCCCCCATATTAAAGTTGTTTCATTGGATGGAGACTTTAGTGGCTTTATCTTTTTTATGTGCTGCAGGTAAAATGTGAAGCATTTAAGACCAGAAAGAGCCAATGAAATCTGTAGCTGGACCTGTGTATCACAAGTTACTGTGTTTCATTCATATGCATCCAGCAAGTTGTTAGCCAAAGTGCAACTTGTATGTAACCAGGGATGCTTTCCTGGAAGGTACATGTATCTTCATTTAAGGGTCGCAACAGATGGCTAAACCACCAAGATGCCTCTTGAAAGCTCTTGAAAGAGCATGGATGAAAAGGCTTGTTGCTCTGCTATGAGGCATAAATGGGGTGTCATAATTTTTTCCCCACTAATTGTTTCTTTTAAACATATTATTACCTTGTTGTGACAACTTTTTACAACTGTAAAGGTGTCAGATAAAAGATAACTGTGACTTTCTAGAGTAATACTCTGTGGCTAGCAAGTTAGTTTAAAAGGCTGTGCAAGTTCTCTCTGGTACTTGTACTCCATAGATCTCATCTAAAGTTTTTTGAGATGGGGCTTTAGTGCAAACTCTTATTTTATTCACCAGTGGTTTTCTGACACCTTATTCCTTGTTTTTAGAGGAGTGTTCTTACCTAAGAGCATGCAGTACATCTTAATTCTCAATTAGCAACTGAGAAACTTGCTAAACTTTGTCTAAATTTTTTAATTAATAACTTGCTAAATTTTGACAGTTGTTTCTCATTTGTGGACATGGATGCTGAATAAGCAGAGAACTGCCTGTTGAGTTGGCTCTGACAGCTCGTGGTTCAGGGCTTTGGAGCATCTTACCTTTCAGTAGCCTGAGTGTCAGCTGAAACTTGTTTCTATATGTTGGCCACAAGTCTGTTTAAAATGAGTTAATTCATCCATCAGGATGTGTCTGAAGATGAGTATCTACTTCATTGGGGATGGCTTCACAACTAGCATGCTTGAAGGCAGCCGACTGGAAGGGCTATGGGAGGAGGATAAATTATACATTCAGTCCTTTGTAGCCTGAATAATGGAGCTTAATTAGATTTTCCCTGGCAGTGCATGGAATTCCCATAATTGTTTTAATTCATGATCAAGGCTACGCTTGCATTGCAAACTGCGTCTTGCCCATTCCCGCTGTTGAGGTGGTCACCTGGCCCCAAGGTCTTTGCTGTTTCTGCAATATTAGTGTAAACTGAGGCACCTTCTTAGACTACACAGTACTGGGTGGCTTCCTGTTAAGTATGTCCAGTTAAAAACATGGAGCCTGCTAATAGCTCCATGGTCAGTGCACTACATGAACACCTAAGCTTGTCAGGCATCACATGGCGAATTTAGATGTGTACAATTTTCTCTTGAGCATCTGGGTGCTGTTGTTTAGGAATCCAGGATCTGTGGTGGATCTGACCCACAAAGGCAGATAAACTCTTTAGGGAGGAGAGTTCTTTGGAACCTGTGCCATGTGGGATACATGGTATCAGACTGTAGTGGGGAATTTGCTTTTTGGTGCCTGTGTGCTTGTGTCTTTGGATAACTGGGCATTGTTTTCTTGAGGTTTTCCAGTCTTATTTTCTATTAGCACCAAATTCTCCACTCATGTATTATACTTTTATCCAGCCTGCTCTTCGTTTCCAGAGAAAAGCAGCCAGTAACTGAGCGTGTAAGTGCTCCGTTTTGCCGGCTCAGCAGTGGAAATGCTGGGTTTTGAAAACCACTTACTAATTTTAGGAGCCAAAAGACTCCTAAGTTCTGAACCTTGTGGTATGTCTTTTTTAAAGACAGCAAAGTTAGCAAAAGAACTTTACCAGTTCTTTTCTTTAGGACTTTTTGGCTTACTTAGTTTTAACACATCTCAGAAAAATTTGTGTGTGAGGAAATGAAAAAAAAACCAACCTACATGGAGCTGTAGTAAATACCTGTTCATTCTTGTTAGCAGACTTCTAAACAGCATGTTTGGTTAGTGTAATAGCGCATATAACCTTGTTCATGGTAACATCCGAATAGCAGTAGTATCTGAGAACTGACTCAAAAGAAAATACCTGGTAGCAGACAGACAGCTTGAATCAAAGCATGTCAGTGTGAAAAATAAACACTTATTAGGAAAATAAAATGCCTATAGAGACTTTAAATTTGAAAATCAGAGTAATCATACCTGACTCAAATATCTTCACTTTTCATATCAGATGCTTTTCTAGCTGATTTTTTTCAGAATACCTCTGCAGTGTTCACTGTTGCTTACACTGCGGCCCATTGCTGTATTCAGTGCATAAATCGATCACTGCTGAAGATGAAGTTACTTGTGTTCCTTGTGGATGTGGGTTGTTCGTGACTACAGCATTCGGGTGCTTCACAAAGGCAGTGTGCTAGTCCATTGAGCAAGTGGCTGGCATCTTTCCTGTTTTTGAAATAGAAGAGAAAGTAAAAAATACTTGCAAATTTTGGATTGACAAACTTGCCTGTGTAAAGCTTTAATTTTCCAAGATACTCGGTGATTAATACCTACAGAGGATAGCTCCCATTGGCCTCAGCTGATGTTGATAATGTTTCACTGTGTGAGTAAACTGGACATCCAAAAAATGCAAGCCAGACAACTAAAAAATAAAGGTTGAAATGACCTGTTCTGGCAATGATGGTGGTGGGATGCTGTTCTCCAAGGCAGTGTTCATTGCTGTGAGATTCTTGGTTTTGTCCTCCACTCTCATCTCTGAGTGCGGTGCCGAATGAGCAGTCCACTTTCAGCTCAGCACTCCGCTCAGAGGCCCAGCGGGCCTCTCCCTGCTTTCTCCATTAACATAGGCTTTCCCTCACGTTCTTACATTTCCCAATCTCCCTGTGTTTTCACCAAGTCCTCTTCTGGGTCTGGCTCTCGTCACCCAGAACCATGCATCCTCTTGCCTGCGGGGTGAGCTCCCACCTTGCAGCAGCGCAGCTGGGCCGGAACCTGGCTGTTAGGAATGGGACAGAGTAGCGGCAGGAACAGGCCATGTCTCTCACTGTGGAGCCTTTTATGTCCTTGGCTGCATCAGAAGGAGCATGGCCAGCAGGGCGAGGGAGGTGATCCCATGCCTCTACTCTGCTGTGCTGAGGCTCCACCTGGAGTACTGCATTCAGCTCTGCAAAGTCCAGAGGAGGGCCACAAGGATGATCAGGGGACTGGAGCACCTCCCATATGAAGACAGGCTGAGGAAGTTGGGGCTGTTCAGCCTGGAGAAGAGAAGGCTGCGTGGAGACCTCATAGCAGCCTTCCAGTATCTGAAGGGGGCCTATAGGGATGCTGGAGAGGGACTATTCATTAGGGACTGTAGTGACAGGACAAGGGGTGGTGGATTTAAAATAAAACAGAGGAAGTTCAGGTTAGATATAAGGAAGAAGTTCTTTACTGTAAGGGTGGTGAGGCACTGGAATGGGTTGCCCAAGGAAGTTGTGAATGCTCCATCCCTGGCAGTGTTCAAGGCCAGGTTGGAAGGAGCTTTGAGCAACCTGCTCTAGTGGAAGGTGTCCCTGCCCATGGCAGGGTGTAGGAACCAGATTATCTTAAGGTCCTTTCCAACCCAAACCATTCTATGATTCTCCATCTAGCTACCAGGAGGGATGCTAAAACCCATCAGTGAGTTGTGGTACAGAGCAATCTCCAGCAAGCCCTGCTGTGACTTTGTGGAGGTGACACAGAATCATGGAGTGGTTTGGGTTTGCATGAGCCTTTAAAGGCCATTTAATGCAACCCACCTGCAATGAGCAGGGACATCTTGAACTAGATGAGGTTGCTCAGAGCTCCATCCAGCCTAGCCTGTAAGGGATGAGGCATTTACCACCTCTCTGCAAAACCTGTGCCAGTGTTTCACCACACTCATAATAAAAACTTTATTCCTTGTATCTAGTTTGTATCTACCCTTTTGGAGTTTAAACCCATGGCAGAGCTCTGCACAAAAGGAGGGTTTCATCATGGGTGGGATGGCTCAGGCAGGACCCTGTGTACAGAGGAGCTGCAAGAGGGTTAAATGTTCTCAGTGAAGCTGTAAGCTGAAACTTTAGTAACTAACAGAAGTCTTACATGTGAACAAACTGGTAATTTCTGTCTTCTCCCTGTCAAGCTTATAGCTTGGCCAGATTCAGGCAGATTTTTATATTGTGACAACATAGCCAAGTCATAGCACTTTCTCTCCTATGAAGTCTCTCTTCAAAGATTTTGGAAAAGAAATGTTTTTAAAAGAAAAAGAAATAATGAAATAATAGATGAAAGCTTTTTTCTAGCTTCATTTTTGGACCCATTTTGACTGAAATTTTCTGTGAAGGAAAAAAGAAGAACGAATCAGTCCAAAGCAGACAATTCCAAGGGGAAGTTTTGCCTTTGCTGGTTGAAATATGTCAAAGTTTTAAATAGCCCAACACAGGCTGTCATAGTGGGAAGTGTTGGCAGCTGTAAATATATAGTTACATCCAGCAGGTTAATACAGCATCCAGAGGGAGGATGCCAATGCTTTCATTAACATAAATAACTTCAAACACTCTCTATTTTAATACCTATGTGTAGTACTACCGAAGGAGAGCCTGGGTATCTGAGCACCTTGCTATCCCGGCCAAGTGATCTCATGCTCCAGCTGGCTTTTTCCAGAGCCGTTGCAGGAGGTGGGCATTGCCAGTGGGTCATTGTTACATACTGGGACTTGTGCTGAAGGCTCTGCAAGAGTTCCCCTGCCAAAAGGAAAATGTATTTCACCTTCTTCAAAGAAGGAGGAAACGTGGAAAATTCTGATGAGTTTGCATGCTGTCACTCCAGTAGCTGCCAGATCTTTCCCACCATTTGGAAATGCCCCGGTCTGCAGGTGTGTGCACATAGTTTGTGACCTTCTTTTTGGTCCAGCCTTGCTGCTTGTACTGCTGTTTTGCTATTGGAGGACATGATGGAGTACTTATAGTGTAGGGCAAAAAAAATTATACAAAATTTGCCACTTTATGAGGATGAGGAGATAAAAACGAGCTGTCCTGAGCCTTTGCTTGTCTTGATGGCAGTTCATGCCAAGAGGCCTGTGGTGCCTTTGCGCTTTCTTTTGGTTTACTCTTATAATGTGGAAGTTGAAGTCAATCCTTTGTCATTATGTGGCTGCTGTTCTTAATACTTGATACAGTATACTGAGTTGCATGTAAGCATCTAATGAATTGCCTCAAATCCAAGAAAAGCACTTGGAAGAATATGAAGTGCACTTTTATTATTACTTGGTGTGGAGAGCTTTGCTGGTTTTCACAGAAACACCCAAATATGCCCAATGACTTAGACTCTAATCAATTTCTGTAGAAACGGTGTGAAGTTCTCAGAGGTTATCCTACTTTGAAAGCCACCCCTGTGCAAGTCATTAACAAAACCATTACATTCATTCCATGCCGTGAGTTGTATTTCTGCAGTGAACACCATTGGGCCAACTGGTCAGAGAATTATTATTGGCAGGGTGCTTGCCCTGAGTTTTGGGTGTTGAGAGGATTGGGTTGAGAGCAGAGGTGCACAGCTGCCATGCAGTTGCTCATTGTCTCACTACAGGTCAACCCAAATCACAAGGGTCCTGTTGCCAGACAAGGTCTTGTGCTGGTGGTGATCTGTAGGTGGTGCTATATGAGTAGTCAGCAGGGAATATTACCAAGTGGGGTGAGAATGTTCTTGTCTTGAGAGCTTGAGCATGTTTCTTCCATGGCAGTCCTTCATGGAATGAAGAATGGTGACTTAACATTAGGTTTGCTACTAAACAAGCCAGGCAACACCTATGACTTGCAAATTCAGTACTAATTGTGGAATTTAATTTCTCCACCCTTTTCTCAGCCTCTAGGAGATGCAAACTGTTAGGGGAAAAAGAACAGGGAGCATTTCTGTGTGTATTTTGTTTAAATTTTGGACAGCTTAAAAAATTGAGTCATAAAATGCCATTTAATGCATGCATTATTTGTACAGATCTCTTACAGTTGTTTGCATTCTTTGCAATAACTTTGCAAAATGTTAAGAATGCTTGTTACTGCTTTAGGTTTTTCATTTCACTTAGGGCATTGTTCATACTCTCTTTTGGTTTCTCTCCTCCCTCCCTGTGCAGTTAGTATAATTATGTATGTAGGTGAAGGTTTTCCAAAGTAAGTAGTGACTAGCTGTTGGATGTGGCTGCAGTTGAAGTTTATCTTCTGTAAATCAAATGCACGCCTCCTCTGTACAACACATTTCTTCTGGATATTTTTGTTAACATAAATCAGTATCTTTTCTTCCTCTTTTCTCTTGAGGACAAATTAGCCCTTTCACTTACAGCAACCCTCAGCACTCATAGACCTTTCCCTCTAGTCTTTGTCAAGGCTTCATTTCACCGTGGCCTCACCTCTGCCTTGCTAGCTTTCGCAGTTCTCCATTGTGAAGTTTTCCTTTGTCTGGTCTCCCATCTACGTGTTTTGGTTATATTACAGTACTCTGAACGAGTGGTTTTGAAAGCAGTTGGAGGCACAGCATGCACCACTTCCTGCCTCTGTGCAGTCTGTGTGGTTGTCACGCAGCTAGCCTGGTCACCATCTGCAGCGGGCTTGTACGTGGGACATGCCACCACAGCTGGGCTGCCCTGTACTTCTGAGAATGCCTTTGAGTTTGCAGTTCCTGGTTTGCAAGATGCTTTGCAGATAAGGTTGAAACTGTCCCTGAGCTGCCCCGAAGAGCAAAAGCGTGTGGATGCAGCTTGTGTGGATGCAGCTTGTGTGGATGCTCTGCTGATGTATCTTCTCAGGTTCCTTTAATGGGGAGGGAAAGGCTGGTTTGAGCTTGAACTATGTGTTCTATGTGTTGTATCGTATACCCATTGGACTGACAGGTGAAAAATGTAAGATGAGACTGAAGAGTGGTTATTTACCTCATAAGGTAAGCTTACTCTTGAGAGTCAGCTTACCTTGTATAAGTGTTGTCTTTGGGCCATCTTACAGAAGTCTGCCCTGTGAGGTTTTTGAAGTTCTGCATTCAGAATTCATATCTGAAAATCTTGGCTGCAGGACTTTGAGATACATTTGCTAATTTATATTTTAGCAGTGCAGCTCTGATTGACATGTGCAGTTGTTACGTTTATTAGTTTACTAGTCTTGTAAGTCTAGAGCATGGTGAGAGCATGGAGTTATGGACGTTTTCACTGGCATCAATATTTGTAAGTAGTTACCAGTGAAGATCTCCAGACAGGAAGCTGAACCACAAACAGTGTGAGAATAGGAGGACCTACAGAGGAAAATGATGGCATTTCCCCCCTCCGTTTAAGTAGGTTTTGTTTTTGTGCTCGTGATCTAACAGATGTCTTTTTCTTTATGCAGGGTTATAATTGAAGTACAAGATGGCAAGAACCAGCCACAGCAACTATGTCCTTCAGCAGCTAAACAACCAAAGAGAGTGGGGCTTTCTGTGTGACTGCTGTATTGCTATCGATGATATTTATTTTCAGGCACACAAAGCAGTCCTTGCTGCGTGCAGCTCCTATTTTAGGATGTTTTTTATGAACCATCAACACACTACAGCCCAGCTGAATCTAAGCAACATGAAGATTAGCGCTGAATGCTTTGATCTGATTTTACAGTTCATGTATTTAGGAAAAATTATGACAGCCCCCACCAATTTTGAGCAGTTTAAAGTGGCCATGAACTATTTACAGCTATATAATGTACCTGAATGTCTAGAAGATATACAGGATACAGACTCATCTGGTTTAAAATGTTCATCTTCTGCTTCTAGCACCCAGAATAGCAAAATGATATTTGGCGTGAGAATGTATGAAGACACGCTTGGCAGAAATGGCAGCGAAGCAAACAGGTGGGGCATGGAGCCGCCAAGTTCAACAGTAAATACATCCCATAACAAAGAGCCTGATGAGGAAGCTTTGCAACTAAGCAGCTTCCCCGAACAACTGTTTGATGTCTGCAAAAAAAGCACCACGTCCAAATTCTCTCACACAAAAGAGCGTGTGTCCCACTCACGCCGCTTTGGAAGAAGCTTCACCTGTGACAGCTGCGGGTTTAGTTTTAGCTGTGAAAAGCTACTGGATGAGCACGTGTTAACGTGCACTAACAGGCATTCCTACCAAAGTGCCAGGTACTACAGTACTGAAAAAATTGACTTTAATGAAAAGGACTCTACTTCTAAAGTTATCTCCACACAAACAGAAAAACACAAGGGGGACTTGAGCCAAGCAGTGGACGATTCTTCGTCTCCTGTGTCAAACGTCACGAGCAGAAAAAGCAGCACGGTTGCCTCTGAGACATCAGGTGAAGAAGGAAGTAGAGCCTCTGAGAGGAAGAGGATTGTTATCAAGATGGAACCAGAGGACAATCCTGCTGATGAACTGAAGGATTTTAATATTATTAAGGTGACAGATAAAGACTGCAATGAGTCCTCTGACAATGATGACCTAGATGATGAACAGGAAGAGCCGCTTTACAGGTACTATGTTGAGGAAGAGATCAGAGAGAAGAGAAGTGCTCGGAGGACATTAAAACCCCGTTTATCCATGGATGAGGATGAAAGAAAGTGCTTGAAAAGTCCGCGGCACCTTAACAGGAAGGCTCCTTCAGTTCAGGAAGACATGGAGAATGCTCCCTGTGAACTTTGTGGGTTAACAATCACCGAGGAGGATTTGTCCTCTCATTATTTATCCAAACACATAGAAAATATATGTGCTTGTGGCAAGTGTGGTCAAATACTGGTCAAAGGCAAGCAGTTACAAGATCATGCGCAGACGTGTGGAGAACCCCAGGATCTGACCATGAATGGTATCAGAAATTCTGAGGAGAAAATGGACTTAGAAGAAACCCCTGAAGAGCAGTCGGAAATAAGGGACATGATGTTTGCAGAGATGCTGGAGGACTTCAGAGACAGTCACTTCCCAATGAACAGCCTTCAAAAAAAACAGTTATACAAGCATTCAGCCTGTCCTTTCCGATGCCCTAATTGCGGTCAGCGTTTTGAAACTGAAAACCTTGCGGTTGAACATATGTCAAACTGCCTGGAGCAAGATCTGTTCAAGAACTCCATGATGGAAGAGAACGAGAGGGATCACAGACGTAAGCATTTCTGCAATCTTTGTGGGAAAGGATTTTATCAGCGTTGCCACTTGCGGGAACACTATACCGTTCATACCAAGGAAAAACAGTTTGTTTGTCAGACATGTGGGAAGCAGTTCTTAAGAGAGCGCCAGTTGCGGCTCCACAATGATATGCACAAAGGCATGGCCAGGTATGTCTGTTCCATTTGTGATCAAGGAAACTTCCGAAAACATGACCATGTACGGCATATGATATCTCACTTATCAGCTGGAGAGACTATATGCCAGGTCTGCTTTCAGATATTCCCAAATAATGAGCAACTGGAGCAGCACATGGATGTTCATCTGTATACATGTGGAGTATGTGGAGCAAAATTTAATTTGAGGAAAGATATGAGATCTCACTATAATGCCAAGCATTTGAAAAGAACATAAGTGTAAATACTGTTAAAGCATTAAGTTGGCAGCAGAGAGAACACCAAAGCAAGGCATACAGTATAGTACAGAAAAAAAAAAAAGTAAAAAAAAAACAAAATAGGTCTCTTTTTTTATTATTTTTTTTAAGACCCTTCTAACCATAGGTGTCTATTTAGGCTCATTAAGTATATAGCTTTGAAAAGCATCATGTGTTTAATTATTACATTTTCACTGTTTCCTAATACAAGTTTCTGTTCTTAATTTTATTGTTTTACTAAGTAGATATACAAATCATTATTTTTAACCTGTAGATTAAAAGCACAATGTTACCCCTTCACTGACTGCTATTAAACAGTTCTCGGATCCATTTCCGTAAGATGAGTGCTTTAATATTTCCATGTGTTGTTTCTTCATGTACAGATTTTAGATAACAGCCATTAATGTGCAAGAGCATAATTGTTCATCATCCCCAAATTCATTTTCAAAATGACAAAAAGATGCCAAGAAATAATCCTTTGCTCTCTGTCTGTAAGGGCAGAGCTGGCTGTCCTGGTCCTCTGCTTCTTGGCTTTGTTGGAAGGTGCATCCCAGGAGTGAGAGCACATAGACTCAGTTAAACCATGGAGATTTGAATCGGTGTATGCAAAGGGAAAGGGAGTTAATGCCTGTTGGGATACCCGAGGAGTTCCCAGCAGAGTGGTCATTTTCCAGACTTGAAGTACTAGCAGAACTGTACAAGTGATGTTGGCATTTCTTTTACTACCTGTACCTGTGTGGGTATATATAACCTGCTTATCTTACTATACAAGGGAAGAGTGGCTGTGGTGGATTGCTAGGAATGCAGAATGGCAATATGCATTGAAGACTCTTTTTCAGCCTAGCTGTAAATGGTGCCTTACTGCTTGTGTTGGGAAGTTAAAAGTGGGATGGATGGGTGTGAAGATAGTCCCATTGCTTGGGCGGGGAGGGGAAGGGGGAGTGTGGCTCATGTGAACCTTAGCCTTTCTGTTTTGTGTTTTCATGATACGTTCTGAATGTTCTGGTTTTCAACAGGAATATAACAAGACTGCAGAGTTTGCTTAATAAATGTAAAGACATTTTATGCCTTTTAAGATTCCTTTCTGATTCTAGTATAGCCCTCATCTGTGTAGGTTGTCTCTTAATTGAATTTAAAAATTCTACTAAGTACCAGCTGACATCAGTTCAGTGAGGCAGTTTGGACTTTGAGAGAATGACTGGCTTTGACTCTTAGGCACCAGCTGTCTCAGTGTTTGTTAAAGTGTGTGATTTTTAATGGGGGGAGGACAGGATCCTGATATGTAATGGTGGAGAAAACTATTAAAAAATAAAACCTTGCAGTACTTTCTCCCAGCAGATTTTACTTTATCAGAGAGGTCAGTAATGCTATTTCCTAGAGAGGGATGAAAGCAATTTAGATCACCAATTAAGGCAGTTGGACTAGATGATTGTTATAGGTCCCTTCCAACCGAAATACTCTGTCACCTCACATGCCAGTGGTGGGGTTGAGAATAGGAGCCGGGGCTTTGAATCTAGTCCAGGGCTTTCATGCACTTGTCACTGTCAGAGTTGAGTTTTTATCCCTTGTTGTTTCTTGGGGATTATGCGGGGGATTATAATGGGTATTGAGCTGTAATGTTAGGCTTGTTAGAGAAATTAATACAGTTCAGAGTCTCCACTGTAACTGTTTAAATCGGTATGAGTCGCCTTGCATTTATTCAGTTCTAAACATGCATTTGAATTTCTCTTGGTTGGTAGATGTGTGTGTTTACGCACTGATGGAGAAGGACCCTGCTGCCAGACCTCAGTCCTTTGCCAGCAGCTGGCTCCCTAGGTGGTGACTGCTTCAGGTGCAGTTCAGGCCTTTAGCTAGTTTTGCCCTAACTGCTCAGTCCTGTGTTTTCTTGTATGATGATGAAGTCAACCAAGTCCTGAATAATCCTGGGGCCAAAAAGACCATGGACATGAATGTACTCCAGCATTTCAATTAATTCAGAGCTGCCCCCTCAGAATTTATTCCACGTTCCTCATCCCAACCCAGACTAAAACTCAGTGTGTAAGAGATCAAATAAGCGGGATGGGTATTTTAATTCTTTTTAGCACGGGAATCAGTGTTAAGGTGACTGTTAAGATCTTAAAAAGACAAAATAGTTAAATATAATGATCATCTTAAAGATGAACTAGTTAATAAAGTGCTGTAGTGGAAGAGTTCAGAGGTGGGTAATACACCTCACATGACAGTTCTCTGACATACATGTTATCCCTTATGGTACCAGCTATGTCTGCATTGGGAAATGCTGCCAAGGGAAGTGAGGGAGAACTGGGAGGTGCTGGGGGAGTTGGCAGAAAGTTCTCGTGGCACTTGGAGAGTGGGAAGGCTGAGTGGGAACAGAGATCCTGAGTGGGATGGAGTGGCAAAGTCTGGAGGGGCAGGATTAGAGCTGTGCAATGGGAAGCAAATCCCAAAGGTGGCATGGAGGGGGCAGTTGAAGGAATGGATGAAACATCCTATAGACCAGAGAATGACTTAGCCTGGCTGGGGGAGCTGTCAGCCCCTGTGATTAGCTCACTACTGCACACCCAGATTGCACACCAAGTACAGACAGCTCCTACGCTGGGGAAGGGCTGTGGTGGTGCAGCAAAGACTAAATTAAAGACTTCACTGAAAAGGAGGAGGTGACCTCTGCAAACTAAGAGATTGTTCCTCAATACAGTGAAGGGCTAAGGGTGATTTATGGAGACTCCTGCTCGGGGTCAGGAGCCCTTGTTTACAGTGTATTAGCTTGAACTTGACCCAAAAACATTTCAGAAAAAAGTGACTTCTCAGTGTAAGTAGACCTCACAACTACAGAAGTTAAATGGATGAACTGGGAATGATGGTATTTATGTGTACTATCTAACTTTATGAACACCCCCCGATACCTTTGTTTTCAATTATAAGCTGTGTTGTAGTAGCCTTTCAAAAGAAAGTTTGTTAAACCTTTCCAAATGAACTTGAATAACTGTTTTTCCTGTTCTTGTGAAACAAAACTGAGGGCCTTGGAGTTCACGTGTATGCATATCCATTGTAGGGCTCAAAAAGAGCATGAATTGCACTTCAGGGAGCTTAAGAGTGGATCTACTTGTATGTAGGCAGAGAAAAGCAGAAAGTAGCCTGAAAAGTTATCACGGGGAACATAGGAGAGCAAATCAAAGGTACTGAGGCATAGAGAGAATAGCCTGGCTTGCAAATAGATGGGGAGAGTGTTTATGGTGAGGTGTAAAAGCATGCGGGGGGGGGGAACAGCATGGGACTATTGAAGAAAAGGCCTGGAGTTGCAGAAGGAATTTGGCTGTTGTGAAGGGGAAAAGGGGTGGGTGCTGAGGTAGTCTGGGGCTGCTCACTCGTGAGGACTGGGGTGTTCTCCCCAGAATGGGACATCAGCAGGAGAGTGAAATGATTGTGTTTCAGCACTTCTATCATGATAAGCATTGCTTGCTGTGCAGACAGAGCGAAAGCAGACCTGAAAAAAAAACGAAAACAATCCAACAACAAAACAACTGCAGTTAGGATACCTTAGAAATGTTACTGTTACTTGAAAGATAGTGAAGGGCAGCAAACAATACTTCATTTAGACTTCTGTTTCCTCTAACAAATTTGTACTATGGCATCATAGCATAGTTCCTTTGCATCTCCTTACTATGCTATATGGTCTTTTAGAGTGTCAAAGCACTTGATCTTTGAGAGTGGAGATGTAAACATACCACATTGCACACGGCACAGCCAGAAAGAGAAAGACCAGCTGGATGTTCTGACTTATGTTTTTAAGTGATCTATTCTTACTTTTGGAGGACCTCTCTATGTTCTGTTGTTCTGCTAACTCTGGCAGTGGTGTGGGCTGCAACCCTGAAAATAATCTGTAAATAGCCAGCCTAGCTCTTAGCTTTCAGAGTTTACTGAAAGTTAAGAAGAGGGAATTTATGAAGACTGCAGTGAGCTTCAAAATGCCACAAAAGCTGTTAAATTTCTTTTTCAGTTTCAGAGGAAATGTTTACATCTATTTGTAAATGCTTATTGGCAACTTTTGAGTTCAAAGAGTATTTCCCTTTGTGTATGATACTTGTAGCCAACAGGTCTGTGGAGAAATCTTGATTTGAATAATTAGAATATCAGAATTCTACAAATTTATGCTTTTATTAGGAGACGTACCTATTTAACAGGTTAATGGAGAAAAGTTCAGCATACTTTTTATTCAAAGCCCTAGACAGGAAATGTACTGCCCAATATATTAAAAATACATTGTTATAAAAGTAACTACACTATTGTATTTTAACTTACTAGTGCTAAAGTATCTCGACTATCTCGGCTGCTGGCGAGGATGTAAGTTTGCTCCTGAAGGCAGTGCCACCTTGAGCCCTAGTAGCTCCTTACTCCTTCCCCACCTCGTTTCAGCTGTCATAGCCCTTGTGTGCCACCCTCTCCATTGTCAAAAGCACATATTTAGGTAGCTTCACAATGAATTGAATCAAACAATGGGCCTTTTTTTATTCCCTGTGGGGCTGGTTTTTGGCTGGACCAGTTCCCCGCTGTGCTTTCCTCTCCGGCTCTATGTCAGGTTTAGTGCTACCAAAATAGAAGGGGTGACTTGAGGGGAGAAATAAGTGGCTGGGAGAGGGCTCGTTTGCTTAAACCAGCTGTGGCAGCACTCAGAGCACATCCTGAGCTTAACTTGGTCTCTGTCTCCCCCAAGCATCCTCGTGGAAACTGAACTCTTACATTCATCTCCTATTTCCTGATAAGGAAGAAAGGCAGCCCAGCCTCTTACGTACAAATGAGACACAACTATGCTATCTGCCCTCTTTACAAGAACTGGAAACCCTCCTGTGTTCAGTTCATCCCTCAAATATGCTCTGGAGCTTTCTTAACCTTTCTTGAAACAGACTGTGTGGCATTCCACGCTACTCGGTTCGTGTAGTTGGCCTGGCCTAAGGCCAGGAACGAGCTGGGCCCCTTGTGCAGCCAAACACCAGGACTGGCTTCCACCTTCCTCTGGTCTTTGTGCCCTCTAGCTGTGGGCCCAGATGCAGCTGTGCTGCTCACATGCTTGGCAGCTGGACCCCTGCTCTCCTACTGCTCCGTGCCCCTCACCACTCACAACATGCACTTCTCTGGGTCTTGTGATAAAAGGAGCAGTCATCTACTTTCTGAACTAATACTGAAAACTCAGGACAATTCCTTAAGAAGATGCTGGCAGTATCTGTTGCATCCACATGTGCTTGCTTCTGACTTCTAAGCGATTTCTGATCTAAAACAGTTAAAAATCAAATACTCTGATTTCCCTGATTCTCAGCTGGTTTGATGCTTGTCACAGACTTAAAGACCTACAGGACAAAGCATCTCTAATTTCGCTTCGTAAAAATCTGTTTAAGGCTAGAAATTAGGAACATGTTTGTAAAAGCTGACTTTTCTGTAGTTCTCAGTTTTCTGTGTTCTCTTTCAACTTCCAGAAAACTCCTAAAATACTGCTGTGCAGTGTAGTCTCAAGACGTGTTACTAGGTTGAGATTTTGAAGGGGGGAGATACCGAGGACATGTTTTATAAATTAAGTGTCTTCTGCCACTTCTACAGTCACTTCTACAATTCTGGAATTAATTCTATTTTATTTTTTTCATGCAGAAAGACAAATCTTAATTTGGTACAGTGCCACAGACCTCATGACTCAGGAGTCAGTTCATCATGACTATAAATATTCAGCCCTGAGACAAACAGCCCATGTTCCTTGTTATGTATTTGAATGACCAGTGACAACTTTACAGAAGAAATGCTACCAGATTTTAATTTGGGTCATTTTTGCCCACAAGTGTCTTGTAGTTTTGTTTTTTTGTTCTGGTTTGGGTTTTGTTTTACGTCAACAAGGAAAACAGTGACGTGCCTCATGCTTTTAGAGAAACTATTTTCAGTAATTTGTGCACAGTCCATATACATAAGTAATTGAAAATATAGGAACAAAATTATGAAATGAGAAACAGGCAGATAGTCCAAGGCCAGATTTCGACTAACTGGTTTTGTGTAGCTACCATGTCACACCTCACCCCAAGAACCTAGAATTTCAGAAGTGGTCAGTATCTTTTCTCTTGCAAGAAAACAGAAAGGTTTTAATCCTTTTGCCCTCCGGCATAATAAAACCATAGTAAATCTTCCTGCAGCTACAACCACAAGAACAATGCAGCATCTAGCATTTCCTATGGGAGAAAAAAAATAATTAGCTCTTTAAGAGCTGTTCAAGAACTTCCCTCTCTGAGGAAATCCTAGTGTTGCTGTTGTTTTCACTCAAACTAAGCTGTGATTTGCATCAATTGAGATTTTGGGGTGTAGTTTTTTTTTGGTTGCAAATCAGAGATGATCTCGGTACATCTGTGGTTTTGTAGACATCCCAAGACTCCTGATAGGGAATAAGAAGACAGCTCTTGGAGGCTGTGTGCATTGTGGGACATCCAGTGGAAATCAGGACTGTCTGCAAGCCCTTGGTTTCGCAACCTGTCTGTCAGGGAAAGCGCCACCAGTGTCAGGAATTGCTACTGTCTCTGCAGCAGCAGCGTTGCCAGCATGAAAGATGTAAAAATCAGTCTTTTCCCATATCTTCTCCCCCATCTCCTTTGATGACAAAGCTGCTATTTAAAAAAAATCATCCTTCTGGCTCTTCTATTTGCCTTGTGTTATTTTGAAATGGGAAGATGTGCTTTCTTCCTGTTTTAAAGCAGTGACTAGGGCTAAGAATTTGCCTTTTGCAATAGTTCTCACATGTTCAATTGAACCTATGCAACTCAGTAATAATCTATCCTCCCCTTTTTTAGGTAACCATCCCACTATATTGGGGATGGTCACCAGAGAGGCTTCTGCTTCTAACTCCCCAGAAAATGGATGGGAGAAATAATACAATGTCCTTCTCTCCACGGCAAAAGCCCCAAGACCACGAAAGTTTGTGGAAATGCAGATACGCTGGCTAAAAAAAAAAAAAAAAGAGTTTGCCGAATACCATAGATTACTTCTGGTTTTGGCAACAGATACACCAGATACTTCTGGTATCAGTTACAGTCTTTCCTTTTACACAAGTCATTATGAGAGCTTTTTTTCAGGATGCTAAAGACAGTGCCTATTTCCTCCCTGCCTATGGGGTTCCTCTATTGGTACCTGCTGGTAGAGCCCCAGCTGCCAAACTACTTAGGTCTGGGTTTCTAGCCATTGGTTATTTAACTACTTACACAAAGTGGAAACAATTTAAGAGATGAAATCTAGAATATCCCTCTTTCAGGACAGATACAGTAGTAGTATAGAGGAAACACAGGGTAGGATCCCTTAGAACAGATGAAGAAATTGTCCTAGTATGTCCCACAGCCCAGGAGAGAGTTTGGATCTCTGGGCTGCTCTGCTATCAAGTAGATTAATTTGTGTATACTTCTATATGCTGCCAAACATGACACTGGCACAGTCTGCATGCCTGAAGTACAAGAATGAGCCCCACCTAGTCTGCTTTCAGACAGGGTTGTGTTCCACAGATTTTAAAAGCTGTTGCTAACATGGTCAGTTCTGCCAGAGAAGACAGAGATCCTGATGATAAGTAACTTTGAAAAATAAGTTGCTTAATACACAAAAAATCTTACAGTAATTATTACAGGTCCTTCAACTTCAGTTTGCTGGGCAAAGAGTTAAACACTTCAAAGGCAGTTTTGTTTGGAGAATGTTTATTTGATCAAGTTCAGTGTGGCTTAGACCCCAAATAGAAATACTAGCTTCAAACAGAGCAGTACTATGAAAGCAGGAATAGTCTGTGGCCTTCCAGACCTCACAGGCTATGTTGGTTTGTTACCCAAAGTCAAAACAAAGATGTCCCTTAAAACACATATACATTAATTCAGTGTATTTCACACACCATAATCTTTTATTTTGGATCTGCTTTTCTCCCCAGTCATTGGGGCTGTGCCAAAGTTACTGAAATCCTGGATGAACTATAGACTGTTCAGTAAAAAGCCTGTATAGTATGACTGGGCCATCGGAGCTGTTTAGATCATTAGAGAACAGGCTTTAAATGCTACTGCTCCTGTTTACTAAGCTTGAAGTATTTAATTCTTCAGATTTTGGAACTGTGCTTATCTTTGCCTCTTGATACCCTTTACGTTGCAGAAAGCAGGGTAAGGAAGAACCCAGCAGGTGCTTCTCTTAAATGGAACCTGGGAGATCTTGTTAGCAGTGGGGTGTTCTTTTTATAATTTTTTTTCAGCTGTCTGAATTGTAAGACTTCTAATAAATGTGCTAAGAATTAAAAAAGCATTATTAATACATGATGAGATCAATCACATAATGTAACAAACTGATGCAGAAGCTATTAGTACAGGAACCTGGTATTATGCCAAATCTGGGGAGTTATCTTTGATCTATCTCCAGATCCTCCTTTTATTTGTAAACATCCAGCTAATCACAGACTTCCTCTTTTATGAGTGAAAGAAACTGCATCCTTTGTAGTATCTCTGAAGAGCTTTAACTTTGCAGATGTTCATAATTTGTGTGATGGGGAGGTATGAGCTCCATCTGGTGGATAACTGGAAACATACATATTTACCTTTAAAAAGCTCAAAACGTTTCCACAGTTGAGCAGAGTTTACTGTGTGAAGAGTGAAGCAGATCCTCTTGCAGCTGTGCATTCCTTAAACAGCTTCTGTTTTCAGGGTAGCGAGAGGATTTTAGAGTCTGGGAGGAGGGCACGTTTTACCTCTAGTCCAGCTTACTGTGGGCTAAAAGCTGTTACCAGTGCCAGCAATTCTGGGGTGTTCACAGTTCTGCATGTACACCATACCACCACGGTTGGCACTGGTTTACAGTATTTTTGCAGTCTCATCGGAAAAATGTAATTTAATATTCATAGGCAGCCTACCTTCCCACATTCAGAGGTGGTCCCACACAGCGTAGTTGGTGTATTTGAGGATGGTGGTGTCAAGAAGCTCAGTCACACTGCATGAGCTATGTATGATCTGCAAATGACAGAGATCTTTGACTGTAAAATGCAGGCCGGCATCTTGATAAACAGCAGTGTTAAACACTGATGTTGCCTGGGGAAAAGTAATGTTCACATGCATACTGCAGTTAAATACCTTTTTTTTTTCCTCCTTTGTTTACAAACAAACAAAAAAGGCATTTCTTGACCTTTGAGCTAGTCAGGTAAAAGCTACTTCGAGATAACAGCATCAGTCCAATGAATTCCCCTCAGAGATTTGAAGAAAGTAATAGGTAGACACATGTACTTGCTGCCAGAACCAGCAGTACTTTGAAGCTAGCAGTTTGCCCAAGACCTGCATGTTCACATCACCCTCCTGTCATGAAACAAAAGTAATTTGTCCCAGGTTGCTTTTTTGCCTACCATGAAGTACGTGACATGATACAGAGAGCAAATAAAATATAGAGTCAGTTGTGGACCTAGCATATGCTGTGAGGGCCTGGACACATGTCACACAGGGTATGTTATAATGCACGCTGAAGTGTGGTGCACCACTCCCAAGGCTTTCCTCTCAAAGGTGTGCCAGCAAATTTAGCCCTGAGCTGGCCTTTAGGATGCTCTAACAGGTAAGTAATGCAGACAGCTGATAAACCTGGCTTATGTGCAGCTTTGAAGCTTTTCCTCCTCTGCAGTGTAGACACAGCTACTTGGTCCAGGCTGCTGTGGTGCACATAGACACAGCAAGTGTAAATTAGCCAGAAGCAAGACAGTTGTGTATTTGTACAACATGATTTACGTATCCAGAGAGAGCAGTTGGTGCACCAACAAAAAAAAAACGGGGATTGTCTTTAAAAGTTACATCCACATGTTTCCAATTTCTTGACTGTTTGTGTCAGATACAGAGCTGCTCATATTTGTTATAAATTAGTTTGGTCAAAAGAGACTTATGGGAATTGTAGATGTTTATATCATTTATCTGCATTTATCTGCATTTAACAAAAAAAAAACCCAAAAACAACAAACCAAAACCCACAACCCAAAACCCAGAGGCAAATATGAAGCAGTAATAAGTATTCTAGAGTAAGGGGGGTTCTAAGCTATGAGAAATCCAGGCTGAGGAGAAGTAACAGTCATGCAATTTTTTGAGCATCCACTAAGCTAAATCATAAACCACTGCTGGAAAGTAAAGAGAAGTTTTTCTTCAGTAAATCTTTAGCTGTTTTGCAAATGGAAGGCAAAGGAGAAAAGAACAAACAGAAGCTTCTGAAACAAGGTCAAAATATGTTTGAAGGTTAAATTACATTTTGTTAGGGTAGGGGTTGAAGGAAATGAACTGTATGGCTTTTAAACAGAGTTCCTGATTGTGGTAGGTGCTCTGAAAAGAACTTAAGGATGGGTATTTGGAGCAAAACTACACCATAGTGAGGTGGGAGGGACCACATCATGCTAGCAAATACAGTACTGGAGTGTGGGCTTCTGACTTTTAATATTTTTCTTGCATTTCTTTTCTGCATGGCAGTAGTGAAATAGGGACTTCTAAGCTTCTGAACAACTGAGAGAACCAGGTTTGGAGAAGACATGAGGAAGAACTGGTCGTCAAAAGATTTCATAAAAACTCAGAACTGCGTGTGCTAGATCTGAATTGGCACCACCTTTCCTTTTTTTGACATACTGCAGCAGTCGCTAAAGGCACCAAAACAGTCAAATTAGAACTTGCAGTAAAAGTTCTGTTGGACTCCTCTCTGTATGATAAAACTTACCTCCTTGTGACTATTATTTACACCTGTTAAAAACAGATTTGAAGACTCCTTTCATGGAGCAGCCAGCCAAAAGAGGCAGATGCCAGGTGTTAAGGGCTGCACTGAAATGAGTTTGCAGAATTTGCTATTCATGTGCTGGAGTGCTCCTTTTCTGAAATAAGGCTTCTTAGAATTTCTGTCAAAAACTGCTTAGATTTTTTTTAGTTCAAACATTAGAAGTATATACTTATGTACAATGATAAACTTGCCAAGTGTTAAAAAAAAAAAAAAGAAAAAAAAGTATGAGGTGAAAAAGAAAAATCTTAAAAGCAGAGGAAGGACAGGATGGTGAGAAAGATCCAGCTGACCTGATTCCCCTGCTGCCATGATCATCATTTGCAAGCTGAAGCGGACCTTCCATGAAGCACAGTGCTTGTATGTGGATAGTAAAGAAATGGTGCTCTGGTCTTATTACAAGAATGGTGAAAATTTTTTACCAACAAGGAGATGAGTAAATGTGAAACAATCTTCACAGGGCACAGGGTGCACCTTGTTCTAGATCTAAGCCCTGCAAAACCTGTCTTGAAGAGGAGAATCAGGCATTCATGTTCAGATTTAAGCATTTTTAATGCATTTTTATGCATTTTTTATAATGTTTACAGCTAAATTAATGGGGGGGGGGGGGGAAGGGGGAAGCCGTAACCAAAAAAATAAGGCAGTAAATGTTTCCATTTAGGGCCAGCATGGATTTAAAAAAATATTAATTTCTTTTGTTTCCCCCAGACAGCAACGGGTCAGATTGAGACATGTAAGCAGACTAAACATGCTGATCTATATTCTGCTATAGTTACGCATCTTACTAATTCTACTCATGACTATAAAAGGATGTTTCATTGTTCAGTATAACTGTTATCTCAAGAAGTCTGTCTATAATTTTATATATAATTGGCATAATTTTCATTACTGTTGTTATGAAGTGTGTAAAATACTGTCTGTATTGCAGCTTGTATAGGGCATGTGTCTGTGCTTGCTTTACCCTTTTTGAGTTTATAAAGTTGCTATACAAATGCAAGAAAAGATGTTCAGATATTTTTGAATGTGGTTGCTTCATCTAATTACAGAGCCCTAAACATTTCAGTATATAGATATTGAAAGTATCGGCTCTATTAACACGTAACACCTTGAACATTAACGTAGGCATTTTAAAAGCCTTCAGTACAATACTGGAATGCTGATGCTTCTTCCCAGTGGCTGTGATGGAGCAAAGGGGAAGATGGTGACTATATGGGCAAAGCCAGATCCCACTGGGGATTCTGCAGGGAGAAGGCACAATGTAGCTGGCAACTCTGTTAGAAAATGGGGTGTCCTTGCCATAGAGAACAGGAAGGACCTTTACAGTAAGACCACCATGAAGCAGAGGAGAAAAGGGCATTATGTTTATAGCATCACCTAAAGACAGGCCTTCAACAGTATACTAAGCATAGGACATCTAGAACAGGCTGTGACTGTTCTGTAACGTAGCAATTATTTGTAGTCTATGTTGAGTAACGCTGAAGACATTCCAGGTTAGTTTTCATCATCTTTAAAGCTTATTCTGTGCTTTGATACAGTATCTCTAATAAAATGTTCTTACAAATCTGCTTATTATTTTCATTTAATTCCATCTGATACCGGAGTTAATAACAGTCCTGACAACAAGGTGACGTTCCAGTTACCAGCCGTTTCATCTGCTCCTGTGTTTTTCCCATTCACCTGCTAAGAATGACAAGAAGGAAAACTGAGATGAGTAAAAACCAAATAATCATAGGAATGAGAAAATATGAGAAATTTTTACTGCTGCTACAGTTCAGTTATTATAAACATTCTTTACACAAAGCATTTAAGGGAATCTGAGCAATTAATCAAATTATATTGATCTCTGAGTATGAAGTATTGGTCTTTGCCTGTGTTTACAGTACACTATTTCCCTTAATGCTTAAAATAACTGTATTTTACAGTTATTGCCAATAATTACAGTATGTTGTTTAACCCTGTTCACACCAGTTCTAGACAAAATGATCTGTTTTCATTTATTCACCCCCTGGACCATGCAGAGCATCCTTTTAGTATCTTCAAACAAGACTAAGCAGAATTCGACTTCCAAGTATACTAGAAGGTAAGATCAGAATTCAGAATAATCCTGGCAAGGTGCAAATGTGATCTGAAAGCATAAGATGTTACTTAATAGGAACTAGGAACAAGTGCAAGATGGAATCATTAGCTGTGAAAGTAAAGGAACAATTGCTTAATTTCATAGAAGCATACAATGGTTTGGGTTGGAAGGGACCTTAAAGATCATCCAGTTCCAACCCGCCTGCCATGGGCAAGGACACCTTCCACCAGGTTGCTCCAAGCCCTGTCCAACCTGGCCTTGAACACTTACAGGGTTGGGGCAGCCACAGCTTCTCTGGGCAACCTCTTCCAATGTCTCACCACCCTCACAGTAAAGAAATTCCCAAGATCTCATCTAAATCTACACTTTCAATTTCCATTGAAAAGAATAAATGTGTTATTTTGCAAATCCTGCAAATTAGTCTGGAGCATCATGCTGTTGCAAATAAGGGTAGAACCTAAATGTCTAAACTGGAGTAAAATCTGCCCCTTCAGAACTGCTAAGACATGAGCTAGTAACATCTCCAGTTTTGATCATGCACTTGAAGAGTAAGATACAAGTTGCATGCAGAGAATCGAGAAGAAAGCAATGAGAATGTCTAGAAGCTGAGAAAACTTTTGAGCACAGATTGAATGATTTTAGGTCATCTTACGGAAAAGATGATAAAAGGGAAACATGTTTTTTTCATATATATAAAAGAATAAAATCACTTTTTCTCATGCCCACAACTGAGGAAAAAAAAAATTAATTACCTTAAATTGCAAGAAAGGAGATTTTAGTTAGACACAAAATGAGTCTAAATGATTTACCAAGGTCCTTTTCTGATCTGATTCTATTATTACTTGCAAACTATCTGCTTTAAAGTCCCTTATTTATTACTGTCAGTAGAGCAGGCACTGACTGCAAGAAGAGGAGGCCGCAGTTCTAGGAAAGTAAAGAACTGCCTAAAATGCACAGCACACTAGTTCATCTGGTTAGCACTAGTGATACTAACCCCAGCTTTTAATCATGCCTCCGCAACTGTCAGAAGTCTATGTAAATGAATGTGTTTTAAAACCACTTAATTATAAAATAATTTTTCTTGAAACATCAAGCATTAGTTTAATCAGTGCTGACAACTTCCATGATTTTATTGAGTCTAATCAACCTGAAGCAGCTTAGTTTTTGTTGTGAGATAGTATAATCAGCTATTTTTTTTTTTTTAAATTAGCTCTGCAGATTACATGGAAAATCCAAAAAGTGTAATCTGACCATATGCTAAAAACTAAAAAGCCAGAAGGTAAATAAAGCCATGTGTGTTTTTTAAGCTTGTAATTTTAAACTAGGTTTATAATTTTAGGAGATCTGACTAATGATTTTTGAACTTCTGGTTTGGCAATACCAAATTACCCTACCCTATATTCTGCTGTTCTGAGTATGTCCATATTAGTGATCATGCAGTTGTGTAATCTGCCAAAAACATACTGATTATCAGAACTTTGTTATTCACAAACACAAAGGAACACTTATTTAAGAAAAATCATGTATTGTGGCTGCCTTTCAAATTAACAAGGAGCATCTCTGTGCAAAAAGTGGAAGTATGTAAAAAAAAAAGTAACATAAAAAAGTTACATAGTTCCCTCCCACATACATGATGATTTTTAATACAGCAGCACCTTGTCAGATATACTGATAGTTCTTGTCTGAGTTCCAGTTACTAGACCTATATTCACAAATATATATTTGGGAAGATGTGAGATGAAGAATTTCAGTGATGAAAAGGTATTACGGCAAAGTATTCTTCATTCTAGCACAGCTGTTACTTAGACTTTTCTGAACTGATTGCTGTATTATAAAATAATTCATTTATCCTCACCAATACAATCTGATTTATGCAATATTCTGGATAGATTTACTAGGGAAATGGATATGAGGCAAATGGATACAAGGGAAATGGATACCAGAATTTAAGGTCTAAGGGCTTCTGATTTTCAAACCTGAACAGATCATTGCATTTTAACTTTTTAACATTTTAATGATTCAAGTGGCTGATGTCTGACTGAACTATAACTTGTATTCACTCCTATTTTTAAACTACACTGCCTTAGGAAATACCAAGATAAAGGGCTGAATTCTTAGCTCTGTGCCAGATACTAAGCTCTTGCTTCATTGAAGAATCTAAATACCACCTTCATTTCTGGCTGGGTGGTGTAACGGCAAAGATCCTACAGCACATTACATAATGCTGCCAAACAGGACTCATGGGTGTATTATTGATCCTAAACACAAATAAATGGTTTAGGAAGAGGCCTCCTACTTCCAGAGGTGCTAACTTGCTGTTCTGAAAGTTACTAGGAAAATATGGCTTACACATTCAGGATGGGAGAATAACAGCAAATGTTTTGTTAAAGGGAAAATCAGACTTGTGCTGAAGTCCTCAGCATAAGCTCACACTTTAATTTCTGAACCAGTCTGTTTAGCTCACCTATAACATGACTGACTGCATGTGAAGCAACATAAACCATGTGGCTCTTCCCATATGAGAGTATGACAGCATAGATGAGCTGGTCCACAAATTGTTCAAGAAGTCTTGGAGAACTGCTGACAAAAAGCAGGCTTGTAATAGCTCTGCTGAGGAAAGGGAGTAAGTTTAATAATGTTTTGGAGGTTGCTCCCTCTAGTTAGACAGGACTTTCTCTAAGGACATTGTTAAGAGATGAGAGGTGATGGCAAGAACATCACATAAACTTCTGATTAGGAACAACAGCTTAAAGAGCAGCTCAGACCTGTACATATCATTGTATGAGAACAAAACAGTACCTATGTGCTCAATTGGAAAAGAAGTATTTCTGCCACAAGCTAAATGAAGTATTTGGTAGCCTCAGTCTACAGACGTTTTGATTTTTCCTGAGACTGACGAGTGTGTCATTTACACCGTAAGAATTAAAATTCCTCCAAAATCCTTCCCCCAAATTTACTATAGCAGAACAACCATTCAAATGATGAAATAAATAGGACTGAGGGAGTACTATCAGGATAAGCAGTAACCCAGTCAATGCAAACAGCTCTTTAACAGGTTATCAGCACATCTGGGATATCAGCACATCTGGGTATCAGCACAACCATATCAGGAACATACTAGTTACTGGGCCAAGGAAACCCCGAACAAGTTTTGTCTGGAGCTGTTGTATGTATTTTGTGCCTGAGCTGATAAAACATGTATTAAAAAGCTTTAGGCCAAAATTAATGAAATGTCACTTCTAAATCTGATAAAAACCTGACTGATGACGGCTACACTTAAAAGGGGTATCAAATTAATTTTGCTGCAAAGACTGGTTATTGTGTTAATCGGTGGTGTATTATTTCTTAGCTCTCTGCATCTCTCTTTCTGTACATGAGGCAGGAATCCTCTTTTTAGTCAGAAATAACATGATCTGAGTTTGTACTGCAGCTATCAAAACGGGGTTCTTGTGCATTACTAGTGCTCCCAAGGGACGATCCTCACGAGGACACAAATAATAAATAATACCAACTTTTCAGCTGAAACGGAATTTATCAATCACCTCTCTGTATTGCTCTGGAATTTCTCCTCTCTCCATACGATACAATCAACTGAATGAAGTAGCAGTGAATTACAGGAAGAAGATAGCTTAGTGATGAATCAGTCACTGGTCTAACTACAAGAGAAATCGATACCCTTCCCATCAAAGAAATATGCACACGGTATATATGGAGCAGCTCCTGTTGGAGGCAGGGAGAGCCGACTGTTTCCATTTTCCACTGACTTACTCGGATTTCCCCGAGGTCAGAACCTGTGTGAAAAAAGACCAGGATATGTGGGAGAATAATAGTTACTTAAGCATGTACAGTATTTACTGTCAGAAATGGAAGCTCTTCCATCTCAAAGCTACATACCACAGAAAAGAGGTGGAATCTTCATGTCTTGCAAAAAGGTTTTGAAAACCACAGTAATTGCAGCAAGGATGTTTTTGATCGGGAGTTGGAGTATCTGTAATAACTGCGTGAAAACAAACCAGGCTGGGAAAAGCTGTAACGTATTTTCTATGAGGGCTGCTACTGCGTAACGCTGAAGGCTGGGGACAAAATTAGTGATGATTTAAGCGTCCAGCGTATTTAATACTTCTCTCACGTAACACGTGAAGTCTGTGGGTGGCAGACTTTTAGCCGCACTTTTAAAGTAGCTATCGTAAAGGAGCTACTCACTAAGCCTCGGAGAAAAAAAGAACTCGGTGTGGTATTTTGCTCTCCTTACTGGAATATTTTGAAGCGTTTGTCTCAAAGTAAGGGTTATTTGGAGGAAGCACGGCAGCGCATTTTCATGTGTAATAGATTTCCATCAAAGCACTTTCCCAGCTCCGAGTTAATAGCTTCATAGCTTTTGCTAAATGTAGGCGTGACGACATTCTGCATTAGCACAACAGAAAAAAATTTGGAGACGTTTCAAGAATGGTCACCACGCAGGAACACGCAGCAACAGAGCTTCCCAAGCCCCTAACTCCTTCTTTCCATGTTTGCCTCCCGGTACCGGGACAGGCTACCCGCCACCTCGGCAGCACCCACAAGCCGTGACCGACCACCGACTGCGCCGCTCAGGGCGAGGAGTGCCCGCCCAGGCGGCTATGTGCGCGGAGGGATGTCAGCCAGCCAACTGCTGCCGAAATAAGGCTAAAAACTGCCTCAGCCTTCGCTCGCTGCGGGACCTTCCCTCTGCCATAGCTGGAGGGCGACAAGCTACCGGCACTGCGGAGGTCTCCTCAGGCTGGCGGCTCCTCAGGCTGGCGGCGCCTCAGCCCTGGCTCCACCGGGGTCGCGGCGACAGGGCGGACACGGCTCGGCTGCCGTTTGGCACTGACAAGCCGCGGGTGCAGGGGGGACTGGAGGGAGAGAGGGGGTGTGTGTGGAGAGAGCTGAATTTCTGCCTCCTCGCGACCAAATAAGGGTAAATTCCCCACCAGCTGGCGGCCGGCTGCGAGATGACCGCAGCGCTGAAGAACACCCCGAGGGGCGGCTACGCTCCTCCCTCCCGCCACTGCCCTCAGCGGGATGAACAGGCGAGTCGCATAGTGCCCACCCGGCCTACCCTTCCCGGTCCCCATTGGATAGCGCTGATGTCAGTCACCGCCCCTGCTTCGAATGCCTACGGGAACTTTCTCGCAGCTTTTGCGGCGGGGCGGGGCCAGTGCCAAGTGCGTGTGGTGATTGGTGGACAGCTATGGCGCAGACTGCAAGACGAGACGGATCGAGAAGGACCCGGAAGAAGGCGTTCGTTTGGCAGCGGTACAGCGGGGAGGGCTGGGCTAGCGGGTGGGAGCCACGGCTCTGATTGGCCAGAGGGTAGGAGGTGGGTGCTCTCCGGTAATTCTCAGAGGCGATTGGCCGGTGGCGGCGGGCCGGTGTCCAGATTGGCCATCAGGGTTCTGGCAGGTTCCAGAAGACGGCCCAGCCGGCTATAAAGTGGGCGGCAGCGGCAGCAGACCGGCACATCGCGCCGCGGCGAGCAGCGAGAGTGAGTTGTGGGTGAGGCCAGCGTGGGTGAGTGGCTGATCAGCGCAACCTGACATCATGTCTGGCAAAGGGCCGGCAATCGGCATCGACCTGGGCACCACGTACTCCTGCGTGGGTGTCTTCCAGCATGGCAAAGTGGAGATCATCGCCAACGACCAAGGGAACCGAACCACACCCAGCTATGTGGCCTTCACTGATACAGAGCGCCTCATCGGTGATGCCGCCAAGAACCAGGTGGCTATGAACCCTACCAACACCATCTTTGATGCTAAGCGTCTCATCGGCCGCAAGTATGATGACCCCACAGTGCAGTCAGATATGAAGCACTGGCCCTTCCGTGTGGTGAATGATTGTGGCAAGCCCAAGGTGCAAGTGGAGTACAAAGGTGAGATGAAGACTTTCTTCCCAGAGGAGATCAGCTCTATGGTCCTAACCAAGATGAAGGAGATTGCCGAGGCCTATCTGGGTCGCAAAGTGCAGAATGCTGTCATTACAGTGCCTGCTTACTTCAATGACTCCCAGCGCCAGGCCACCAAAGATGCTGGCACTATCACTGGCCTTAATGTGATGCGTATTATCAATGAGCCCACAGCAGCTGCTATAGCCTATGGCTTGGACAAGAAAGGTACTCGAGCTGGTGAGAAGAATGTGCTCATCTTTGACTTGGGAGGGGGTACTTTCGATGTGTCCATCCTTACCATTGAGGATGGAATCTTTGAGGTGAAGTCCACAGCTGGTGATACCCATCTGGGTGGGGAGGACTTTGACAACCGTATGGTGAACCATTTTGTGGAAGAATTCAAGCGTAAGCACAAGCGTGACATTGCTGGCAACAAGCGTGCGGTGAGGCGGCTGCGTACAGCTTGTGAGAGGGCAAAGCGCACCCTCAGCTCTTCCACACAAGCTAGCATTGAAATTGACTCCCTCTTTGAGGGTATTGACTTCTACACTTCTATTACCCGTGCCCGCTTTGAGGAGCTCAATGCAGATCTCTTCCGTGGTACCCTGGAGCCAGTGGAGAAGGCTCTGCGTGATGCTAAGCTAGACAAGGGCCAGATCCAAGAGATCGTGCTGGTGGGTGGCTCTACCCGTATCCCGAAGATCCAGAAGCTTCTACAGGACTTCTTCAATGGTAAAGAGCTCAACAAGAGCATCAACCCCGATGAGGCTGTTGCTTATGGTGCTGCAGTGCAAGCCGCTATCCTCATGGGAGACAAGTCTGAGAATGTGCAGGATCTGCTGCTGTTGGATGTCACCCCTCTGTCCCTGGGCATTGAGACAGCGGGTGGAGTGATGACCGCTCTCATCAAGCGCAACACCACCATTCCCACCAAACAAACTCAGACCTTCACCACCTATTCGGACAACCAGAGCAGCGTCCTGGTCCAGGTATATGAGGGTGAGAGGGCTATGACGAAGGACAACAACTTGCTGGGCAAGTTTGACCTAACGGGCATCCCCCCAGCACCCCGTGGAGTCCCCCAGATTGAGGTCACGTTTGATATCGATGCCAATGGTATCTTGAATGTCAGTGCTGTAGACAAGAGCACGGGTAAGGAGAACAAGATCACCATCACCAATGACAAGGGTCGCCTTAGCAAGGATGACATTGACCGTATGGTGCAAGAAGCAGAGAAATACAAAGCAGAGGATGAAGCTAACAGAGATCGGGTGTCTGCCAAGAACTCCCTCGAGTCCTACACTTACAACATGAAGCAGACAGTGGAGGATGAGAAACTGAAGGGAAAGATAAGTGACCAGGACAAGCAGAAAGTGCTTGACAAGTGCCGGGAGGTGGTCTCGTGGCTCGATCGCAACCAGATGGCTGAGAAGGAAGAGTATGAGCACAAACAGAAAGAGCTGGAGAAACTCTGCAACCCGATCGTCACAAAATTATACCAGGGGGCTGGAGGTGCCGGGGCAGGTGGCTCCGGTGGCCCAACCATCGAAGAAGTAGATTAAAGAGGACTGAAACATAGACTGGTTAATGGACAGTCACTCCATTCTTTGCTTTGTTTTGTGGTTTTTTGTTTTTTTTTTTTTTTCCTAACCTTTAAGGAAAACGTCCTTGCTGGTAACAGAGTTTATTCTGTTGGGTGTGTATAAAGGCAGATCTGTCAGCTTGGTTTTGATAAAAGGGAAGGCACGTCCTGCTTTATAAGGTTAGTAATAGACAAGTTTTGTTAATTCAGATACAGCTGTTTGTACTCTGGATGTTTAAGTGTCTCTTCTAAAGTAACCACTTGACTGTTGCAGCTGCCAAGTTTCAAGTTATGCATGAGAATATTTACAGAAGATTAAAAATATATGCCAAATTCAGCTTCTGGAAATTTTGGTAATAAATAAAACTTATTTAAAGCATAAACATATCTTCCTCCTCTCTGTGAAGGGGCAGTAGTGGGGTGGGTGTGTGAGGAGGACCTTCCTGGTGGTGTCTGCAGCCCCTGAGCTCTTGCACCCAGGAACGTGCTGGGAGCAGAAAGTGAGTAAAGTAGCTGCTTCGGTGGGATGGGGGGTGGCAGCTCGCTGGAACAGAGCACAGCCTGGGGAGCACTGGGGAGGGAAAAGTTACCCCAAGCAAGGGGTGTTGTTCTGGGGCAGGACCTGCTCTTAATCCACAGCTTGTGGTGTGGGCGGCAGGACCCAGCCCAGCTGCTCCAGCCCTGGAAATACACGGGGAAATGCTGTGTTCCTCTTGCTGTGAGCAAACAGTGGGGAAATAAGTACAACAAAAACAGTCGTGCTTGGCAGGTGCTAGGCTTGATAAAACAGATGGGTTTGTGGCCAGCTATTGTGTTGTTACAGAGTTATTTTTGGATTGCTGGTGTACAAACTGAGCATATACTTCACCGAATGTGTTTGGTTTTTTGTTTGTGGGCTTGGTTTTTCCACCCCTGCCACTCCCTGATGCCAAGGACACCCTGAGAGCTGGGAGTGCTGAGCAGGGAGCTGAGATGCAGAACTTGAGGGAACAGGCAAAATTTGTAGTAGTTAAACTTGTCTGACTTTACTACAAACTGTCTCCAGAGCTCTTCATTTGTTTAAGAAAGCAAAAAACATGCAGTGTTTAGACTCTGAGGAGCTGAAAATTAATGAGCTCTAATGGAGGATTCTGATGACATGCACATTTTTTGACTGGCTTGTCCTTTAAGGGAGAAAACCGCAGAGCAGTGGGCAGCTGAAGGCAGTCATCTGCTGTGCTTTGGTTTGTTTGCTCGGTTGTAAGTGGGACTGTTGGGGTACTGGGAAGCACAGCAGCGCTGCCCTGCTGGCTTCCTGTGCTGCAAGGAAGGTTGAGGACTTCAGTTCCTTCAGCTTGTAACTGATGTATATATATGTATATAAAAAGTATCTAAAAATATTTTGTGATGAGGCTGACAAAAATAGACTTGGTGTTTAATAATCATCACAGATGTAGGACTCTGATTTACCATGTGGATTTTTCCTCGCTGGTTTGCCAGGGCACTGACTGGGGGGTTTTCTTCACTGGCTACTGGAAGGGGTTCCAGTAGCTGCCGTGGGGGAGTGTGAAGCTTGTTAAAAGCTTGTATGATCAGCTGTTGTCACAAGTGATTCAAACCCAAGTTTATTGAATGGTTCCTAGTGAAATGGCTGTGCCGTCACTTAGAGATCCGAGAAGTCACAGAAACTTCAGCACCTGCTGAGTGCTGCAGTGAAATCTCGTCAGGCTGTAATGAGGCTGGGTGCTTTTGGTATTGATGTGTATGGCATCTTGCTGGCAATTGCCCTCTTGATTTCCAGGCTGAGGTATACAGGACCCATGAGAATAAGGCAATAGAATGAGTTTCAAATTTTACTTCTTTTTTAAGGAACTAATAGGTATATATGCTTATGAATAGAGGAGATGATCTGTAAGTGAAAAGTTGTTGCTGCAAACTGTCAAGCTTTGCTAGATACACTCTTCCTGACTGAAATCTCACTACTGTGGCACAATGGTAAGGATTAGGTAGCATTCATGTTTGTTGAAAATGTAGGTGACCTTTTTTTCCTACTAACTGACTGGTAATTGCCCTTGCCACATAGTTTCCTTTACTTTTCAGCCCTTGCTGTGCATTCCTCAGCATTGCTGCCCAGTTATTAAATGCAATTTTTTGTTGTTTTTCCCAAATGTCTATTTAAGTGTGTTGCAGAGCTGCTGTAGCTAAATGCACACAGCAGATGGTTTGTCACAAGCCTGTGCTGTCATCTGTCCTTTCTCTCAGCTTGGCCACTGCTGCTCTGTGCCCGTTAGTGGTGGGGCAGGCAGGGAGCAACAGAGACCACGGAAGTGTAGTGCCTGTCCAGATGGTTAAAATACCCCAGAGGCTGAGGGCATGAGCAAGTTAACAGTGGAGTAATTGTGTGCATATGTATATATGTGTGTATATATATATTTATTTATTTATTTATTTTTCCCTTGGAAAGGGATATTTTTTAGTGTGGACACACCTGGACTGTGTGTGGGATATGTGAAACATGAGAAACTTCTGCTGACTTACATGACTGGAAAAGGATTTAAGTCCTGAGGCACAAAGTAGCCTTTCAAATATGTGAACAAGCCCCCAAAATGCAAGTGGCAGGAAACTTGAAGGGCTCAGAGCTAGATTCCTTGCATTCATTCACTTAGTTTATAAAACAAAGAATAAACTCTGAATTGATTTTAAGTATACTGTACTTACCATAGCATGAGCTCTGATCCTATTAGTTGAAACTTCCCGTAGACTCTGCTGGGACTACATTTGTCCCCCCCCGTTTTCTTAAATAAAGTAAATGTCAGAGGGGAAAATGCTGCTCCTCATTTGCAAATAGTTGTAGTTCTGGGGAGCAGTTGCACATTTCAAATGAATTTGGCAAAGCCAGGAAAATAATCTTGTCTAAAATCTGCAGTTTCATTGCTTCTGTGCTCCGCGTCTCTCATCCTTTGTACTGTCCTGACTCACCAGGAATGCCAGCATCTTCCGTCAAAACCATGGGCCTGGGTTTCTGAGCTTGCTTATTCTTAAACAGGGCTGTGCAAAGGACCAAACCCATAGGAAGGATATAAAGTGATTATAACTTTGTAACTCCTTATATTTGCTGATTGAGTTTGTATGGATGGTATTATTTCATATAGAAGAACACTGGTAGCATTAATACTGAAGAATTTAATCACCCAAATTAAAACCTTAGGCGCCTTAGCACCTTACTTATGGTGCATCCAGGTGTGGAGCAATGCAAAGCAATCACTCCTGTGTGTGATGCAGGTCACCCTGCAATTCCCTACCCTCGCTTTGCAGGGGAGAGCCAGAAAAAGACAAAGCCCAAAAGCATTACTGCAACAACGTGCCATGTGAGAGGCCTTGGGGGGAGCTGAGGACAAGTGAGGTGTCTGGGGGCAACCCACCCGGGAGCTGGAACGCTGAGACGTGTTTGGGCAGGCTGCGTCCAGCCAGCCGGCTGGGTGAGTCAGCCCCGTGCCCTGCAGCCTCCAGAGCGTCTGTTTGAAGTTTGCACACAGGACTTAGCAGACAGGCTACAGCCCTGCTCATCCCTTGTGATACTATCTTAAGGGCAGGAATGAATATATCCTGGCAGCCTTCCTTTTATCTCTCGGGAGACACGGCATAGGGCCCTGCAGGCTGGGCAGCCTTTCTCTGGGGAGCTGCCTGTCATTTATTTGAGAGGTTCTCCTTGAAGGGTTAGGGCACTGTGGGGCACAGCCACGTGGTGACAACTTTGAAGGAGATGTGGCATCTTAGTACTGCACCAGAAATTTTGTCTTCTCCAATGTGAGCCACTCTAAGAGATACGTACGAGGAACAGCAAAAAGAAAGGAAATGTTCAGGGAATTCACGTTTTCAGACTCTGCACTTCTGCTAAATGCAAGGCATCATGTTAAAAAGCATGTCCTTACGCTCACAGTTAGGACATGATGTATTTTAAAGTTCTTTTTTTTTTTTCAGTCTTGTCAGTGCATTGCATTTCAAGCTCTACTTACTTAAAAGGTGTTCCAGTTCTCCTCTTTTGCCTTCTTCCTGCCATAAGTTTCCCTTACTGTGTCCCTTTAGAAAGCACACAGTGGTCTAATCTCTGCCTACATCACAGCCACTGTACATTGGCACATGGGAATTCTGTGATATTAAACCAGCAAAGCATGTGGATGCTCTTACAGCAGCAAAATTACGCTCTGCAGTTGTTCATCACAAGAAAGTTATAACCCCTCCCTACCCCACAGCAAAACAAGTTATGCTAGTAAAGCTGCTTTAGCACACCTATGTGGGTCAGGTATCACATCTCTCCTCCATTCTCATCCACTTATTTATGCAGGCAGAAGCCTATAGCATAGACCTGCCTCCAGAGTAGATTTTGCTTGCAGCAGCATGGTGATTATATAGTGGGGCAGGCCAGCATTTCCAGATGCAACAACATATTTCATTTCCACATATGAAACAGCAGTATTAAAAAACCATGATCCACCCTTGCATGACCCATTTGCCTTTACTCTCTCCTGCATCAGTAGGGTGTAGACACAAACTAGCTGGTTCCTCGTCATCCCAATAACAGCATGAGCCAGGAATTTCAGAGAGGGGGTGAATTTCCCTTTAAGAGCCAACATGTTTCTTGTAGTCTTTCTTTTAAGGAAAATCAGTAGCAGTATAGGAAATTTTTGTTCCTTTTCTATTGCTGAAGACACTCTCTCCCATCATTCAGGACTTGGTTTAGTGTGTGTTGGCCAGTGCAAAGTTGACAGATTGCTGTTATATCCTGGACCAAGCAGCGTAAAGTCATTCTTGCTTATGCTTAGGTAGCAGTTAGCAGCACCTGTACCCTTTCTGTTGGAGCAGTTCAAAATTTTGCTGCTCCAAATGATTGCAGGTCAGCAGTTAAAAATCTATTTTTAATAAGATTGAAGAACAAAAAGACTTCTAGCAGTGCCAATGCTATCTGTTTCAGGCAGCACTCTAGATAAAAATATGGATTTAGGGTCTTGGTTGTCTTGCTATTCACTGGCAAGCATAATGAAATATTTTTAAGTCAGTCCCTGTACGAGCTGTTGCATGGTTGAACTGACACTCTAGCAATCATATCATAGCTGAACACAGCATTAGTTTTTTTTCCAGGCTGTATCTAAAAATGTAAGCTTATTTCTATCAAAACCACATTTATCTCTCATTTGGCAGAATCCTTTTCCTGCTGCAGATCTCATTCACAACATGTTTGCAAATGTACCAACACAGTCTGGTTAAAGAGAACTGATGATAGTACGTCCTTAGTCCTATCCCCAGCACTGCAGGTGGAGGCTAACTAAACTAAAAATTCTAATAAGCCAATAAGTCCTGTAACAAATTAAAACTAAAAGTGAAGAAGTTCCCTGCAAAAGCTACCTTCAAAACTTATAGAGTTGAATAGAGATCTTGCCTATAGTACTTCTATATTAAATTTTCACTTGTTTTCCTAATTCTGTAGCATGTAGATGGTTATTATATCCTACAGCAGAACTAGAAAATAGGCTATGACACTTTTGTTAAGCTCCATAGATTTCTGAGTGCCTCAGAATACAGAATCAAAATAAAAGTTTTGAAAATACCTACTGAGTATGAGGTACATTTCAATATTTCGGCTTTCCTATTAGAGGCATGTTAATAGCAAAAGGCTGATTACTGGGGGCACAAGGCAAATGCCTAGCTGTATGAAAACAGCTGACAACTGCTAATGTTCAGTAATCTCATTTGATAAAACAATGCAGAGGGAGTAATTGCATGAGGATTTCAGTAAAAGAATGTGCAGCTGGTTTTTCTGGCTTTCCAAAAGCAGCCTGCATTCCCATAAGCAGTGCTAGGCAATCACTGCCTCCTGATTTCTCTTAGACGTGGGCTCAGTAGCTATTGCTGCCTTTGCGTATCAAACACCTTTAGCCAGTTTGTGGCTGTGGATGTAGCCACCACTGAACACAGCAGATAGCCAGGCCACAGGGCTCTGAATCTGCGGCAAGGCTAGTGCTGGTGCCTCAGGAAGTCAGGATGTGAGAAGGACACAGTATCTCTCCAGGACTTACAGTGTAGCTGTCCAACTACCCTTTGCTGTGTGTGGTCCAAGGAATGGGACTGAAATGCAGCAGTGCTGGCATGTGAAAACAGTGCAAATTGTTGAAACCAAGAAATTTTGAGCTTCAATTTTGCACAAATCTGAAGTGGAAAAACATACCAGTGTTCACAGTATCATGCCTTAGGACATTATTTATTCCATTCATATAGCATGATCCTGTTCCTAATGAGCAGGCAGAAGTACTTGGCAGGTAAATGGCGTAGTCATGGACTAAGAATTAGTTACTGTGAAATTGAATTCTGCACTTGTGTTTCTAATACAAACAGTAGTGTGCACACAGAGTCTAATATGCCGAGAGAAACCAGGCCTGTCATTTAACTGACCCTGGGAAAAGAGGAGGAAATTAATGCGGTGGGTATGGAAGGCAGACCTGACACAGCAAGAAGAAGTAAGAGTCAGAAAAGAAGTGAATGGCTGGATGGTGAGTCAGTGATAATTTTGTTGAGTTTATTCATGTGTTTATTTTCTGGGTGTGATATCCAACTGAAACATCAGATATACTTGAAGAATGGATGTATTCACATACTGTTGAGTGTTCCCAGCTACTGGGATGCACATGGACACACAAACATGGCAACATGAAAAGAAGCCTATTACAGCTGCAAGGTCAGTTGTTCAGAATTATGACCATCAGAGCAAGCTGATTTCTTGCTTGCTTTGTGCTTGTGCTTTAGAACCCAGTTTTTAATTATGCAGTAACAGTTGCTTTTTATTTTTCTTCTTCTGTAGAAAGAGACAGTGCACACAATGGGCAGCGTGTGCTCAAAGAAAGTAATACTTCCCAGTACAATTTACACTCTCTTTTCTGTGTGCTTTCCAGCCTTGGCTCTGAAGAAGAATTATCGCTTAGGAGGTTGCCTGTGGAGGTCATCACCATTACATCTCAAGTGCTTCACAATATTATCAATTCAGTTTTCAGCCCTGAGATGTGCATAATTCCCACAGAAAGATGGTGATAAAACTAATCAGCAAAAGCCAGATGCCACGTGTCTATTGCATGGTCTTCCCTGGAGATGACAAGGAACTTTTTTTTTCAGACAGCTTAGTATTAAATGGTTTTTAAGGCTGTTCAAAGTGGAGTTCCCATTGGCTTCTGTCACAGTTATGGATACCGAGTCCTGCATTTCAGAATTCCACAAAGCCAAGCCATTTGCTCAGAAAGAAAAGAGCATTCAAATAATGGTCATTAGGGTTGAATGCAGGTTGGAGTGATTTGCCTGGCATTCTGTGACCGAAGCCCATGTGGAAATCAGTTTCCCATGTAGCCTTCAACTGCTTCAACTTTTATACCTTAATTCCAATTCTAATCTTCTGGCTCACTCCTTTTACAGCTTCCAACTCTTGCAACAGCTGAAGCAGGGGTCCAACAGACACTAATCTCCTTTGCCACACAATGCCAAGCTTCTAATTCTTTTTCAAGACTGATAGCCATTTGGGCAGTCAGCATGGGTGGGATGCTTGATGCTTCCCTCTGCAGCCTTAGCTCATGAAATACTTGGGCTGAACTGTTCTCCTCCAGCAGACACTTGGTGAAGGGTAGTACAGTGCTGCTTCTGAGTATCCCAAGTCTCCTGCCCTGGTAATTCAGTCTTGGGTTTCCACCTGAAACTGTGGCCTATCCTGGTCCATGTGCTGGGCCAGAGCCAATTCTGTCCCACTCTCCATAAATCCCTGCTGGATTTATCTTAGTTTTCCCCTAGTTCATCTGTCTTCTGCCCTGATTCCCAGGCCTTCCCTGCCTGCCTAGTCTGCTCTGTCTTTAGCAATCAGCCCCAGCCTTTTCCTTCACAGTTGTTCTCCCTGTAGGTAGTTCTGAGTCTTAGTTTCTCCCTATCTTTAGTCTGGGCTTTTTGTGACAATTTTCTCCCAACATTAGTAGAGGTGGAGGGTTGTCTCCCCTGCCTCCTGTGCTGTGAATGTTAGCAGGTAGCCCAAGTTATCTGCAACTCTGCCTTTACTTTTGCCAGTCCTTTTGGCATGACTTCTGCTGGAGCCAAGATGGGATAATGGTCTCCTGAGGCTGATGACAGCCCTACTCTACGCAAATGAGTCAACAAGCTACCAGTTCCATATCTCCCCATTTACCCTGGTGGGGAGCCTATTTCTATAGTGCTGCCGGCTGCCATGGGTGAGATCTGAGGTCGTTTCTAAACCTGCTTCTCTCATCCTCTTAAATATGTAACTTGGCTGCCAAGTCATGGATATGTACTTGGCAGCCTGTAATAGCAACTGGAAACAAAACATACCCAATACAACTGGCAGAAAAAAAAAAAAGAAAGAAAAGAAAGAGATGAGATGAGATGGCTGTAGAGGACAGAGCCAGAGCTGAATTTTCAGGCTGATCTGAGATTTTTGCTTATCTATCCATGGGCTGACTATATTTGCATGAATAAACCTTTAAAGAGTACCTATAGGAGAATAGTTGCAGTGTTTGGAGGGCTGTGGAAATGGGGGTAAGTTAGGGACAAGTTATTTTAAAACAATGTTCTTTCCCCATTTGTTTTTCCATGTGATCATGAACATCTCAGAAACTATTGCAAAAATTAATGCCAACTTTAAGAGCCAAAAGCACAGGATATGTTCCTTCTGTCTTACTGAACTGATTTATCTGAAAGTCTTAGGTCAGGTATTTTCATCTCTTGAAAGTATATACTGGCCTAGTGCAGCTATACTAACAAAATTTTCTTAGATTATGACTGGTTTTCACCTTATAGCTGACCACATGTACTGAAAAGTGTGGTCCTCCCCCTGTCCCCTTGTCTTTACCTGTATGTCCGCTGGCCCTTCTTTGACTCCACCATGAACTGATGTAAAATGCTAACTCAGCAGAAAGCTTCTTATTTATTTTTGCTGGATTACTATTTTTGACAGTGTAGGGAGCCGCATTGCTGTGGGGACAGAGAAGATAAAGAGTCAACAAAAGATAAATGTTGTAAAAATTGATGGGAGGGAGCAAAAATGCCTCTTCTGTCAACAACTAGCTATTAGGTGGCTTAGCTGTAATGTGAAGCCTCACCCTTCGTGGGGACTTCTACTGGCAAAAAGTGCTTTTGTTCCTATAACTTGTACCAATTTTGGGTACGATGTAAGCAGTACCAGTTATATTTAACACTGACCCACTGTGAATGACTAGTATGAGAGATTCTCTGCTTGCAAAAGCAAGTGCTTCACAATGGGCAACTTGAGCTGGTTGCTTGTGTTGGGACCTAGGTCATGTCACAGACTTGAGATGCTGTAGATATACTTTTGAATCTTGTAAAGTCTGAAACTAAAGTATGTTTAACATTCAGAGTGCTGTACAGACACCAATGCCCATAGCAGAGGGGCCAGGCACAGCTGCCTTCACTGCTGCTCGTCCTGGGCCAGTAACCAGGAAAACCTCTGCACCTCCCACCCCTCAAAAACACCGTGAGCCCAGTGAGTGGCTGTGGAGATGCTATTGCATGGAAAGTGCTTAATTTGCCTGTTTGGACTAAAATGTTACCCAAGGAAGCTGCTTAGCAGAGCTGGGAGGGAGCAAAACACGCAGACTGTGAGTCCCAGCCAACAGAGCAGGCTGAAGGGGGACTTGTGTGTTGGGATCTGTGATTCCTAGGGGACAGGAGGCTGTCACCAGGATACCGCCAGAAACAGTGCCTGCCTTGCCCCTTGCTCTGGTGTCTCCCAGCCAAGCATCATGTTACCTGTGAGTCTCCCCACCTTTCCCAGCTCCTTCTTGTTGCTGCCGTTCATGTTTGCCTTTGCAGCAGATCCTGGGGCACATGGGAGGGCTGCATGGGGTGGGCAGGGCACGGACCTGTCCCACTGCTCCAGCCAGGGAGCACAGCAGTTGGGGACAGTCATTCAGCCATTTGTAATAGTGAGAAGCAGCTGAGCTGTATTTTGAAGACACAGGAGTAGTATTTTCTCCTTCCTGTGATGTGCTGGTAGGCCTTGCTATGCTGTGCTACCACCTTTTCTGTTTTTCTTTCGTGGTTCGTAATCCCTTGTGTGTAACATAAAAGTACAGCACCTGCACGCCCCTGTTCATCCAAGAGTTGTAAACCAGTATTTAGAGAGCTGGAACTGAAGGCTAGAACAGACAAGTTGAAATAACCACTTTTTGTCAAAGGATTAGAGCCATAGTTTCCTAATATTCATCTCTGTGGTCTAACCATTACATGGGCTGCTGGCTGCGGAGGTGAAATTATTCTGGTGTCCCATATCCGGCACTCTACTACCAAATTAGATTGAGCAAGAATTGTGAGAGCCTTGTGGCTGGCTGGCTGAATGGTACCTGGCAGAAAGACTTAGAAAGCCTTAAAGCTTCACTAAATTCAAATTTGTGGGCAGGAGGATTTCAGCAATAAGAGTAATTTTGCTTTAAAGGTGACCTGCAAATAGTAGTTAAGGGTTTGCAAGTCTCTCATGTTAATTAAGAAAGGACTAAAACCTCTTATTTATTTCCAGGGGATTTTTTAAATGGATATTTTTAAAAAAACATACGGATACTCTAAAATGCTGTTACAAGTCGTTTTGTCCAGTGTCCCCTGAACCATCTATCTCGTGTTTCTTTAAACTTCTCAGAATATCAGGAAAATGCATAACATATTCCTTTCTCCTGACACTTAGTCTCTACAATTACATAAATGTTATTAAATAAAAGCAACAATTAGTTTTTCAGTGAGTGTCTCCATTTGATTTCTCAGGCTTTATTGATTCACTGGCAATCAAAGGACTGATGTTCGATAGCAAACTGTCAATTATTTATTCATAACTTGAAAGACATAAAAAGGGACAGATACATGTTTTCCTTTCTTTCACTGTCAACCTTTAATCTTAGAGAACTTCTGTGCAGATAACTCTTAACATCTGGGTGAAAAGCAAACTGAAGAAAGACAGAAATTGGCCCATACGCACAGTGCTTGAATGATAAACACCTTGCTGGGCTGAGAACTTGAGCATAGATTTATGACATGTACTGTTTTTCTTGCAGACAGTAAGACCAGGTGTGTGGTACTGGAAAGATGATACTAACACCCTTGAATTTGCAAGGTAAGAAAGATGTTTATTTTCAAATTATGCAGGTTTAGGCCTTGATACAGCAGTTCCAAGTAAGGTAAAATCAGTGTCTAATATTTTTTTTTACTTGAACATTGACTACAGGACAAATTCTTGCTTTTTCTTTTCTTTTCCTTTCTTTTCTTTTCTTTTCTTTTCTTTTCTTTTCTTTTCTTTTCTTTTCTTTTCTTTTCTTTTCTTTTCTTTTCTTTTCTTTTCTTTTCTTTTCTTTTCTTTTCTTTTCTTTTCTTTTCTCTTTTCTTTTCTTTTCTTTTCTTCTTTTCTTTTTTCTTTCTCTTTTCTTTCTCTTTTCTTCTCTTTTCTTTTCTTTTTAATTGAGACTGGAGCTCCTTAACTGATGATGCTCTGTGGCATCATCTTAACAGAGAAAACCAGAAATAAACATTTACTTCATACTGCTTTCAAGCCAAGGCCACTACAGGGGAATGGCTAAAAGTATGTGGCAAGTCCTACCATGTGTCAGAATCATGCACAAGACACCGGAATAGCAGTGCTGGATGTGAGGGCCAGATGCCACCCTCGGTGTCTATGTGTGAAGGTCCACAGACTGATGTTTTCTTTTGCCGGTGTTACATTTGACCCTGTGCAATGGTGAGAGCATCAGAGTACTGCAGGCCTTTCGGGAAACCACAGCTCTACAGGGACCAAACTCCATGTAACTGTACTTTGAATGTCTGTGGCAACTGTGCATTAAGACTTTTTCAGGCCATTTAGACCACTGGGGCAGAAAGACCCCAACACTTGAACCATCTCCCTCCTGCTCTCTTCTCAAGTGCAGGGCAGGGAGCATGGTGTATCATGGCTATGGTGGGTCAGTCATGCACTGCCCGCTGCTGCCGCCTGCCCTGCTGGGCATTTTCCAGACCTTTGTCATGGTGGAACGAGGCTGCTCACCTCTCTATTGGTCATACACTACTGCAGGCTCCTCTCATGGTCTGTGTCTCAGCAGCTCTGGCCAGCTTCTCTGTTGGGCTTGGGAACGCTGCTGACTCTGCCCAGTAGCTCTCCAGGGAGAGGTGTGAGCTCCCTGGTGACCTCTGCCTGTCTCTGCCCTCAAAGATCCCAAATAAAAGCCCTGGAATGGAGCAGTTTATGTGTAAAATCTTCCTAAAGCCACTCGGGACATTGCTTGAGGAGTTCTCATGACAGAGTGCATATGGTAGCAGGAGATAGAGCAGGAAGACCCAGGGAAACCCCATTACTCTTGCTTCTGTATTTTTGAAAGCAGTGTCTCATCCTGACCTCACCACAACCCAGATGTTTTCTTAGTGTCAGAGGCCAGAGTAGATATAGCTTTGTATCATAGGATGTTGACCTCTTTGTACTGCTGCTAGTAATTTAAACTCATACTAATCATGCTCATACTCTATATTCCAGCTCCAGTCCAGCAGCTGAGAAAAACCTTAAAGAAGGAAAAAATACTCTCTTTCAGGAAATACGTGTAAGGACGTTAAAGAGGTATTTCAATTTCACTAGCCTGGCTCAAAATGAAACAAGATCATTTGGGTGGGAATATTTTTATTCATTGTCTTAGGATCATGCCTGAACAAAGCACATGAAGCAGGAAACCAGCTGTCATTTCAACAGGGTGGATGAGTGGTCTGAACATAAAGACAGAGCCAGACATGCCTGATGTTGAATGCTAGCTCAGGCACTAGCCTGGTATGACTTTGGTAAAGTCATTCAGCATCTTTGTTGCTGTTTCCAGATCACTTAGAATGAGGTAATAATTCTCATCTACTCTAAAGAGTATTGTGAGGTAATTAATTCATCTCTGTGAGGCACTTCAAAGATTATTATTATTAATATTAATTTTATAAATTCACAACACAGTGACTTTCATCCATTGCTTAAAACCTCTTTGATCTAAATAATATAGTTGCAATTTATTATATTAGCAACTAAAAGAGCAACTTCAGAAGCAACCTTAGAGGTGAAATGTCCTATTTTTCTCCACATCCCCAGCCTGTTTTGTGGTAATAATAGCTGAAAGTTAGTTCAGAATACCTGCCAAACACATTTCGCTGCCTGTCCCTTTGAAACTAAGTGCAATGAAGACAGTACATGCCAAGGAGATAATATTCTCAAACTGGAATTAACACTGTGTCCTTAAATGTTATATATTGGTCAACCACCAGCGTCTTCCAAGATGATTGCAGTTCAAAGCTCCCTGAAAGAAAGCTGGCTGACAAAGAAGGAAAATTGCATATGATATCCCAGTGGGTACAACATGAATATGTGACGTTAGATGACGTCAAATGTGAGTAATTGCTGGTATTTTGTATCAGCAAGGCATCGCCCATACAAGTTAGGGTGCTATTTCTACTAACACTAGCAATTTTTTTGAGGAAGTATTGCTTTTCTCCTGTGTATGTTTTCAGATGCTGCTTTGCTTATGAAAGACACACATGAGTCACATCACACGTTGGCACTTGAAGTAGTTATGGGGTATGTTATTTAGAGTTTGTTTTGAGAATCGTTTGTGTGTGGATGGTAGGGGAGGGAGCAGGGTGTATGAGAAGTAGAATGTGAAATATCGGAGGTTTAAAATCTCATCTGGAAGGTTCAGTGGAAAACAATACCAAATGCATGTTGTCCTTGACATGTGCAGAGAAATAATCCTATCACCTGTTTGAAAGTCTTCCACTCTGTTACCTAAGAGAAGCCAAGAACTTGGGCCTAAATATCCCAAGACTATTATCCATTTTACTCTAAGTTAAATTCCATGTTAGCCAGCACATCTGCAATATTGTGTGCACCAGGAGTGCTAACATGACTGGGAGTCTGGGCTTTCTTCCTGTCCTGCTGCTGTTCATGTAAGAGCTTCAGGGCTCATTATTTGCTACTGTCACTTATCAGCATCACTTCTCTACAGGCTATAAGCAAGGAGGCAGCAGGTGGAGCATTATTTCTCAAAGGCATATTCCTGTCATCACCAGGGCCATACAGTGGCTACATTATCATTGACTTAGGAATGCATCTCTAGACCTTGTTGATCCTTAGTCATACTGTCCTTTCAGACGGGGAGAGGAGTCTGAGTTGTATCCCTCTTCCTTTGAAAATGAATGCCACTCTTTCAGTATGTTTAGTGCAGAAAACATTCTTCTTGGAAGTATGTCTGGTAATATCCAATTGAATCCATTCTTTATCATGTTTATTGGACTCTTAGTAATTCTCTAAAAGCCTTCAAAATCTTAGTTTGAGGTGTAGTGCTGGCTACGAATACATCTCAGCCACATAGCTAATATTCGGTATTATGCAGGCCCTTGAGCAGAGACTTTGTTCTTTTTCATAATGGTCTGGTAGTGTCAATATCTGTAAATCTGAAGACTTCACAGTGACCTTTCTACCTCTCATTTAGGAATGAGAAACTAGATGACTTCCTCATGGCCCTGCTCTTCTACATATCTTTTTACCTGGAAAAAATTGCCCTGGAAAAGAAATACAGATCCTTGACTTTGTGAGTACAAGACTTTAGGGGTGTAAGTACACAGAGCTTGCCCCAGCAAATTTGGAATCACAGGGCAGTCTTTCATGTCAGAATCAGTGGGAATGTGTGTGTGAACGAGGACTGCTTGCTGTACTGGACTAGTATATCAAATAGTACAGAGAAAAAGCCCTTGGTCTCACCATTTAGGTGTCCCATACTCTCCAAGACATAGGTTCCTCTGACTATGTAGAGGCAGATTTTCTGGAAGGGTTGGAACCCCACTTTGCCCCAGCTTTGCCCTGAGCAGCATGCACTGTTGTTCACATGGCATGGCATCACCGTAATCTCCCTTTCAAGATGGTGGCAGGATCCAGTGCTTGTTGCAACAGGGTCACCAAATAATGTAGCTTCTCAAGGTAATGCTGCAAAAATGAATAAATCATTAATGCTACCACCAACGTTAAATCTGTGTGAGTGCCCTGGATCAAATTACCATCCCTAAATGACATTTCCCAGTATTAACATTAGCATCCAGTCATTTCTTCTTGCAATACAAAGCAGCAAATAGTCACACCTGAGTCTGCTGGGTGTTAATTTGTGCTTTGGGTCACATCACTTTAATACTTCATTTCTAAATACTTTGCAAAGCAGGTTCAGGTGACTCTTGGGTGCTAGAAACATGTTATAACATGAGGAATACATGCTAGGAAAGCAGCTCCCAAGTAAGGGTGTATGACCACACTTGCTACCTTGCAGAATGGAAAGGGAATAGTTTAGGAGCTGCTGTGTTAGAGGGTTATATGCCATGGGAGAAAGCATTACAGAATTACAAACCATGATTGTAAGAAACTTCAGTGAGTTTCTGGAGTCTGTAACAGTCTCTGGGAATTGATTTTCTTAAAACACTTAATGATTGCTTGCTTCACAATTCAGGAAGCTTTGATATAAAGAGTGGCTGATTTATCTGGATTGAAGAAAACACTGTTGGAGGATTGCTGGCCTTAAGGAATTGATTTGCTCTACATCCATAGATGCAGACAGGTGTTTCTTTCATTGTGCAATGAGTAATTCATAAATAAAACCATCAGCATAGTTTCACACACAAACATCATAGATTCAGTTGAAGTGCTCTGGGGTGCAATTTGCAAAATGATACCCTTGCTCTTAGCTGGTAGAAGACAAGGAGGCCACTCCATGGGTCATGACTCCTCAATATGGATTGTATCATCTACTGGTGTGGCAAATACAAAACCAGGCTGAAACAAAGAGAAGTTTGGACCTATTGCAATGTTTCTTGGATCAAGAGGGCTCTGGTTAGTAGGTATCAGCTATAAGCAGTGCCAGGAGAGACTTTTCAGTGTGTTCTGCCATGCAGTGCTCCCAGAGTGAGTCTGCCTTTTGGTGGGAAACATGTACTTACTCTCCACTTCTACAATACTGTTTCATTTAAATTCATTACCTCCCCTGGAGGGAAGTGGCTTTCTTGTCAGGATTACCTGCATACTGTACTATGCTAACATCAGAAAAGCTTAAAGAAAAATACCATGCAGCAACAGGAATTCAGGATATTGATATACTGAAGTATAAATACAAGGAAGGAAAATAAAATGACAGAAGGCAGTTTCAGGTCCTATTTAATGTTGAAGTTCATCCTTAATTGTTTTAGCACCTTCACTGATTTGGTGTGAAGAGCTTTCTGGTACTTCCTCTCTTTTCCTGTTCAAGCAGGAAAAGAGATGCAATAACTTCCCATTTCCTCTGTAATCCACCTGGTCCAATTCTGCACTTGGTATGTGATATACTTCAAATCAAATGTAGCAAGGACTTTTACCTCCTGTGGAGTAAACATCTGGAATGATCTTCCACTAGAAGCAGTGGGGGCAGACAAGAAAACTACTTTGTTTCTGAAGGTGGAGCTCCGTGAGCTTGTGAAAGGGATTTTATAATTACATAATAGAATCATAATGACATAAAATTACACTGGTGATAAGAATCCTTGGGTTTGTGATATGCTGATGTACTTGTGAGCATGTGAAAAAAATCGCATAGCCATTTGGTTTCCTGTAACTATCCCACATAAATCCCATGTTCAGGGCTGTTGTGAGTGGCCTACTCTAGAGGAAAACTCCCTCCCCCTTCCTTCAAGATATAATTTATATTTATAAATTTTATAGAAGCTTTCTTGCTTTCCTATATAGAATAGCCTGTGTGCCAGAAGTAGAGACAGACTGCAGGCAAGACCTGCTGGTACCATTTCATGTTTCTCATTAGTGATACCTATAATTTGCTTCTAGTTAACTGACAGACAGATTACTTGGAGACAGGCTTGGTGACCCACCTAGTCTTTTATCAGCCTCATGTTCCTGTATGACAGACACATCCAATGGCTTTGCAGTTCTCGAGCTACTCTTCTTGTAGACCCTGTGCAATACAGAAAACAGCACTGGTTATTCTTGCTCCTAGTTGGTGTGTTTTGGGATTCCTGCCATTTGGGCTTCCTGACTCAGCTGTTGGGTCTACTTTTGTCCACAGAGAGCCAGGCCTGTTAGCCTGAGTTAGCCTGAGTTCCTCAACTGTCTTGATCCTAGCCCACATTGCCTCAAGACAACATCTAAGACCATCCTAGCTTCAGAAGTCATTGCTTCTGTGTGTTGAACTTTCTTTGGAAGAGAAAGTATTGAAAGGGGCTCCTATCAGGATGAATCTGGACATCTTTGACTTCTTGTGACTTTGTCTTTCGTTGATGCCATGTTGATTCTTTGTAAATCCAAGCCTGAGACTTTCCTGGCTTTTTCTAGATTCAGGAAGATCTTGTAACTAACTTCAAAAATAACCAACCAGTTTTCCAAAGCAGTGGGCATGAGGCATTCTCACACTGCAGACAGCTTGGGAGTATTCACCTCTGAAATAGTGACTCTAAGAACAAAAACTTGCCAGCGGTGGATGAGACATGAACGGAACAAGGGCTATTATTTCTGTCCTGCATTTTTTTTCCCTTTTATTTTCTGTTTCTGCTTCCAACCCTTTCATGTATTTTGGGGAAAATCTGTTGAAGTTTATTAGCAATTATCCTTCAGAAGCCCAGAGTAATTGTCCTAATTTATTAAAGATGGATTGTGTAGGAAGTTTTACAGCTGGAGGCCATCAGTGATAGGACAGATAAAACCAACTCTCCTGAGTGTGAAAGGAGGCTGGTAAGTTTTAGGCTAGCAGCACTCCCAGGCACCACCAGACACTCAGGTGGATTACAGGGGAAGCAGAGGAAATAGAAAGCTCTTTCGTTTAGCATTCCTTAGTGTTTGATCTGAATTGGTTTAAAATACAGGCTTGTGGTGGCAGCCGTTCCTGTTTAGAGGCAGTCCCAAAAGCATTTCGTGTGTGTTTTTGAAGAGGAGTGAGTGCAGTCTCTGAATGAGCCAGACCAACTGCTCCAGGCCACCCAGCGGCAGAGCCTGTGCCTGGGGATATCTAAATGCACCTCCAGGACTTTTATGCAGGCTGCAGAAAGGGTTCGTAAGCTATGCAGGATCAAAGATGGTCTGTGGGTATGCAGCTTATAGGTTGTGTGGAGTAAGAGAGACTGTCTTGTGGCCCCACCAGCATTGCCAAGCTGCGCTGGAAGCATCTGAACCCATGCTTGCTACAGTGGGGTCTCTTCACAGTGGTATCATGCAGCATGTTGGTCTATGTGCATGAAAACGAAGGCTCAGAACAGACACTCTTTCTGGCAGCCCTTCTGTCCAGAGCACCTTCTCCGAACACTTTTTTCCCTTTTTTTTTTCAACAGGACTATGATATCTTTTGAGAAGACAGAAATGGACAATGTGTTGGAGAAGTTAGCAATGTCCAGGATTCACCTTGCCAAGGCGTACTGTAACCTTATCCTTGGACGACGCGTGGCACAGCAGTCTAGCGGAAAGTAAGCCAGTCCCTTCTGGGGACTTTGTCAAGGGCCACAGCAGCCCAGAGCCAAGGCCTCTGTTGATTGATACAAGTAAATGCCCAGGGTAATAAATGTCTTGTAAGCCAAGGAGTCACAGAGGACTAAAGGACCATGGGGCAGAGAAGTGTCCTGATCTCCCTGCAGCTCTATCTCATCCTATAACCAACACCAAGAGTGTCCACAATGAGTTGCAGCAGAGCTTTGCATACCAGACTGGAAAGCTCTCCCTGATAGGCAGAAGCCTTGCTAGGTATATAGAGCAGGAAACTTTAATAGGTTCAATGTGAAAGTCAGCAGGGCAAAAATCGGTGCCAGCCCTGGATCTTACCCCTGCCACTTCCTCTTAACTAAATCTTGACAGCAAATTACTATGTTTCTGCTGGTTGCCACTGATCCCTGCCTGAATTCCCTTTTATGCCACGTGTGAGACTTACTAGGCTGCCAAGACTAGCCTAGTAAGTGATGGAGACCATGTTCCTGAAGAGTAGTAAGTGAAGGAATTAGAGACAAGAAGAGCTTGTGCTTGGGCATTGGAAGTGTAGGTCTTCTTAGTGGGGAAGACAGTGCATGGCTTTTTCAGAATGATGGAGACCAGCTTCTCTTTAGATGCAATGGTTCCAACAGTGAACTGATAAGGGAGAGAAACCCACAGAGAGAATGAAACAGAAACTGAAGAAGGCCAGATTGGATAGGAGGGTGTTTAAAAAGGCAGACAAAACAATGGAATGATGAGCACAAGAAAAGGGGAGTTTTAAAAGGACATGAAAGTGTTATGGTTTAGCCCTGGCTGGCAGCTAAGCACCATAAAAAATGGTTATTGGAAGGAGAATGTAACGACAGAGCGATCACGTGCTGTGCTAGTGTTGTGGAGTCCTTTGTCAGCCATCTATGTTCCTGCACAATGTTTCCTTTCCCTGGCAGTAAAAAGGAGCTGGCAGTCACCACCCAGAACCCCAGTCCCATGGGATCTTCTTAGAGCAGTTTCAGGCAGACTTTTTCTGTTGGTTGGTGTGAAACTGCTGCCAGTCCCCAGAGGAGTCAGAGACACCTTCACCTGCCTTCCTATCACATAGCCCTGGGCAACCTTGCTCCTGGCTGGGATGGGAGAACCTGGGCTTCCTTCTAATCAAGAGGACAAGGTAACCTGTGAAATGATGGAGTCAAAGGGGAGCTGAAATTGCTGTCCCAACAGGGCTTTCATTTTAGTGTGCCCCAGCCCACAAAGTGCTGGGCCCTGAGAATTAAGGATGTGTTCCCTTGCATCCTGGCACATCAGCATTTCACCAGGCACTCCTGGGAGCAGCCTTCTTTGCCAGATCCTTGTTCCCAGGTTCCTGTTGAGCAAAAACATCCTCTCAACTTTCTCACTTGTTGGACTGGGAGGATTTCATTGTTTCTGTTGGGTGGCCCTAATGTCTGCAGTTGGAGGAACTTACTGCAGAAAATAACTTGAATCCAGGAACTGGGAGCAGCTGGATAAAACAGCCTGTTGTATACCCAGCTAGTTAGCTCTGTTGCCTCTTCACTCACTCTTACTGCCTGCTGGGTGGGAATGTGCAGGATTGAGGCAAGCAAGGTGTCCAGTAGCAATAAAAATACCAGCATGGGAGTGAGAGCAGAGAGCTGAAACAATTGTATTCTTTAATATTTCCATCACAGGGGGGTTAGAGGTTGGCAGTGGGTTGGGATGTCGGTGTCCAGGCTGTGAAAACACAAAGGCTATAAAAGAGCTGTGTCTTAAAGCCTTGATGATGTAAGGTGCTGCATAAAGAGAGACCTCACTGAGTTACTCATAACAGGGTGGCGGTAGCTGACTACAGCTGACTTCAGAGTTAGGCTAATGCTGAGTGTGTTATAATATAGGGCACTTCCCATACCATACTGCAATTACATAAATACAATCTTTTCCAGGCTGACTCAGTTTAGCCTTAAATGTTATCTGGATCCTCCCAGACCATTATATGAACTGCCAAATACAAAAGCTAAAGGACAGAACTGATTAGCACTCTCAAAGATGGTTAGGAATTTTTTGAGCACACATGTTTTTGGATGGGAAAGGTCCTTCATCAAAATGGAAACTGTCAGAAAGTTTAGTTTTGATAGTTTTTTTTTAACCTGAAAAAAGTTTAGATTAAATAGCTGAGAAATTATTGATAATGTGCCATCCCCAGTTTTGCTGTATTTTCTTATAACCCAACTATGGGTTCATGGTCTTGTTCAAGTTTTGCTTTTCGCTTTAATTCACCATGACAACATTTTAATGAAATCTTATGTTATGTTGGTAAACTGCTTTCCTTTCCAGATCTGCCAAATGTCCCTGTGTTCACATGGACAATTTTTAGTGTTCACACTACCAATTTTTCATGTAAGATTTTCTCTGGAATTTTAAAAAGGGAGGCTCAGGTGGAGAACATTTTCATCTTAACCATTTACATGATTTGTAAAATGCAACATTAGAATCCTATCTTCATACTATCCCAGACCTGTTATTTGTGTATGTTAGCATTAGTCCTTTTCTGCCTCCAGTGCTGAGGAAGGAATAGGTGTGTCTGGCTTTCTCCTTTCAAGTTGTTGGGGATTGTGCAACCTTTTCATGGTGCCAGTTTCCTTATGGGCATTTGTTATAATGGGAAAAATACAGAATGTCCCCAAAGCTGCATGTATCGATGGAGCAAACACTGAGCCAGCCCTTACTGATCCTTGAAGCTGGCTTGATCCATGAGCAGCTGGAGTCACAGCAGTGGTGGAGGGAGATGTTCAACGGCACAGGAAGCATTTCTTCCCCGTGTGCCCCTATGCACATCTTGTAGATGTCTGAATCCACTATCACCTTGCATCCAAACACCATCTTACTGCACTGTTTGCTCTTGGCTGTTCTGCCCTCTTCTTTTATGCATGAACTCATCCCACCCCGTTCACAGCTCTGAGAAATCAATATGACCATATCACTAGTAATATGATGCTTTTTGCTCATTCTTTCAAGTCCTGTCCTGAAGCTTGTTGCAAGTTAGATGTTTTCCTGACCCTTTCTGTATTTTCCTAGGTAATAAGCAACTGTGCCCTAGACATGGGATGTGCCTCCTAGTTCTACACTTACTTTAGGAAACTTTGCTTCAAGCAGGTCTCTTAGCTTAATACCTCACCCCAGGGAAGAAAGCACTGGGAGAAAGAAGGGTGGAGACCCCTGGCCTTATTTGACTCTAATTATTAGCATTATTTTCTGTTGCTGACCTCTACATTTAACCCTCTACTAAGCTAAGGACTGGTTGTAAGACAGTGCACAAGCTGTGTAATGTTAAAAGGTGAAGTTGGGTCTCACATTTAGGTGTAAGAAGCTGGAGTCACTTTAGATTTCTCTGCTCTAGTACTCTGAAGACAGAATAATGTGCTTTACCAGAATTCATAAGGAATCAAAAGCATTCCGAGTTGTGGGAGTTGTGCTTTGGAAAACAGCCATTGCAGAGTCAAGCTTCTTTTCCCTTGCACAGTATGTGAAGTGTCAGTGGGATTATGGCTGGTGGGAGCCAGGTAGAGAGATACATGGTCTTCTTTATCAAAAAATCAGTAAGTAAAGCTGAGAAGATGATAAATATTGCTATGGTGCTGAAAGGTAGTATCTTCATTGTCTGCTCTGTATTGGTGTTTCTGGTGTGATGGCAGCTGGGGGTGCCCTGGATGTGTGGAACACTTAACTTTACCAGTAAGATAAGGGACATGACAGGAGTCAAGATCATGAGAGCTGATGTGGAGACAGGCTTTCCTGTGCATCTAGCAGCACCAAGCCAGATCTGTGGGGAATCTGTAGGCTATCAGGGAAAATTTGCTTTCATTTCCTTGTGGGTGAGTTGTGCCATCTCCAAGAGAATGGAGAGGCTGCTGGGATGTGTGTGTCATTCTCTGCTTTAATGGCTGTTACCATAATGAACAGTCATTTGGCTTTGTGTGAGAATCCCTGAGCTCAAGTGAGTGGTGAGAGCATCTCTCAGGCTTCCACTGGGCAAATTGCTGCTTCTATAACAAAGGCCCTTTGTCATTCTTGGGCATGTTTTATATTTCTTCTTGGAGATACATCAGGCATCTCCTTCCTAGTTTTCATGTTTAATGACCAACATTGGCCTGGCTTTGTGCCCTCGGTAACTCTGCTTGTTGCTCTTCCAGTGATGTCAGTAAGAGTTTTTTAATTGACTTCAGTAGGAACTGGATTAGATCAGCACTGACCACTTTAGAGAGGCCCATGAAAAGAGCTCAGTCTAGATAGCATAGAAGTGGGGAGCCTTGCACACTCATCACATCCAGCTTTGTTCTCAGATTTAATTAACTGAGCCATACAACATTTTGCATTTTCTCCTTCTGAGGCAATGCAGAAGTCTTGCCTTTCTCTTGGACAGTGGGTCTCTACACGTTCGTAACAAGGATCTACCAGCAACAACTTTATTGCTCTGGTGAAATGCTAGCTTGGCATAGCCCCATGAGTCATATTCAATGCTCTGTTTAGAGAACTGAAAAGACGATGGCTGCTATTAATTTTGTGCTCGTTCACTGCCTTAGGGAAAAACCATCATTGCAGAAAGATCGGAGCTACTTTGAGGTAAGAAAGACACAAAGATAAACAGCAAGTGTGACTCAGTGTCAGCCCAGAGCATGTCCCTCCCTTGCATATCCAAATGCTCCTTTCCTTTTTGGTACCCCCAGTAGAGGATCTTGTAGGTCAGAAGCCCTTGAATAAAAGTTTACCTCTAGGGCCTACATGCCCCTATAAAATACCATCTTTTTGCCCTTCAGCCCAAGCCTTTTCTCCTTGGAGCCTTCAGCCAGGGAGTTTCATTCCTTTTGTGGCTTTTGTACCCCAGGCAGTTCCCACCATAGCCTGAGGTCCCTCTGGGAAGTCTGGTGTATGGATTTTTTCTCATTGTTGGCCTCATAGTTTTATCTCTGTAGGTAAGAAATTTTACAGCCTTCTTTTATTTCCATTGCCCTTGGTGACATATCTAGATGCCAGTAAGCTATTCTAGCCTGCAAAATACAGCTCCATCAGCCACTTATGAGACTCACAGCAAATTAATACAAAACAGCTGGACCCAAGTTAAACTTTGTACTTCATGAACTTGGAAGCCTTTCTTTGAAAGAGGGGAACTCTGGATTCAATTCCAAGTGTACACAGCAATCCCAGCAATGCCATCTTTTCAAGAGCAGACTTAGTAGAGATACTGAGAGTTGAACCAGCTTATGCCAGGGATCACAAATGTTAAATAGGAGGGAAAAGATAGATTCTGTTTTTTTTTTAATCAGTAAGCAGACATGTGAAGGTGAGATGCGATGAGTTCATATTTGCTAGTAATATTTTCTGTGATCACAATGCTGTCATTCAGGGTGGGGATCATCTTGTCTACCTGCAGCTGCCCAAACAAGTCCAGTCAGACAGTTGCCTTGACAGCCATTGCAGAAAAGAGAAGCTCAGCCAGCAGGTGAATTATTGCCTCTAGAGACAGATGTGTGTGATAGGAGTCCACACAGAATGACTCATCCCATCAGTGTCTTTCCATTGATTGTTGAGGGAACTGGGTGGTGATCTCAGGTTATTGCCTTAGTCTTCTAGCAGCAAAACTAAGCCAAATTGGTCAGAGTTGGGCAAGACTAAATCCATTTGAACTAACTCTGTTTCTAGCCTCATCCGTCTGCATACCCTTAAAAAAACCAGTCCTTTCAAATCTTCACTGATGCAAGCATGGTAAAGGTTGATGTCAAATGGTTGCTGGAATTTTAGTGGAGTCATGCCCAGCTGTACTCTGGGATGCAGTGGGACTCTGGGCCATTTCCCAGTGAAAAAGGGGTCTGTGTTTTCTGCTTAGGGCTTGCACAACTTCAGCAGCTATGTGACTTGGCTTGTGTTCAGATGTAAGCACTTCCAAGTGATTCGGGAAGAAATTGGCAGGCTTCTTTTCTCTGATGTGTTCAATCCTGCCTTAAGAGGCAAGAAGAATATTGAGCTGCAGAAACGAGGAGATGGAACTGCTGATGCAAATACTGCACAATTGCTGTATCCAAGGTACACATCTGGCAATGTGGTGAGTCCTTAGGGAACCTGACCTGTCAGAATACACTGAACTAACACCTGCATTTGTTTTCTTTCAAGAAAAGACCGTGACAAGCATCCTTCCATAAGCACCATGATACAGCAGTGCTCACCAGTGCTGAGCACGCTGCTGCCCTTACCAAAGGACAGTGCTCAATACTTCTTCCCAAACCAGGACTGTAAGGGTAGGGACTCTCAACCTCACACGTGTGGTGACCTGCCAGACTTCTCTGAAGTGTTTGCTAACAAGTAAGGGGCTACTTCTCTGCATAAACAGATTTGGTAGTGCTATGAGGAAGGATGTCAAACAGCTAGCTCTTCCTCACCAGGAGAGGGGCCATTGGTCTGAGGACTTGGTCTATACAGGAGTTACAGAGGAACAGGAGTGTGAGTCCTGAGAGACCTGAGCAAGCCTGAAACTTGCAGAGGTAGCACATTGCTTAGCTGATGGCAAAGCAGCTACCATCCATTGTAGTGCTTTGTTAAAACTCAGAAGTTTCATGGGGAAAGGAAACAGGCCTTAACATAAATTTGATCAGAAATTAATCAAAGCCTCACAAAATCAAAATAGGATGTTTATTTTTTTCCTTCTTATGATATTCCCATTTTATATTTCTTCTTGACTTTTAGTTTTTAATAGTGTTCTGATCAGACATTACTGATGCACTTTATTAAAAAAAAGTGATTTTACTACATTGTATTTTTCAAATATAATTTGGATTGTAATAGAAATAGAACCTTTTATTCTGATATAATCTAAACCTTTCAAGCCTGGGCAGGCTATCTGAGAGGAAATCCATTACCCATCCAGCTATGGTTAACAATAATATCACTACAGGGCTTTTTAATGTAATAACTAATGTAAACAGGACCACTGTAAATCAGTTTTGCTCCATTGTAGTGTATGTAAAGCTTCGTGTAAGACTTTCCCTCATAAGTCTTCTTTCTCTGCCTGGAAATTAGAATTTGAGAATTGCCTTAATTTGCCTGGATCTTCAGAGTTCTGGCAATCTAATGAATGCTACAGCTCTGTGCATGCAAAACCTTTGGATGTATCTACAACACACAACCAGCGAGTCTGGTACTTCTTGAGAGTGTGAAATTTGCTACAATTCACATGTCATTGTTCTATGCATGCTTTGGAAGCTAGGTGCATCCTGAGCATCTTGGCTTTATAATTTACGCACAGAGTCATGTAATCTGTATGCAACGGGGCCAAACTTTCCAGGGAGCGCTGAGCTTCTCTTGGATGTATGCAATTTGTATTGTGCACATGTAAACTCCAGACAGAAACATGATATAAGGTACTGAGGGTATAAGCATGGTGATCTGTTTTTAACCTGTGGCAGAGGAGATATTCTCTGCTAAAGGAAGCAAGGTTCCTTGCTGGTTTACCTAAGGAACATGGCAGATCTGTTCCCCTTTCTCCTATTTTCTTTTCCTTCAATGTGTCAAGCAGATTAACATGATGTTTTCTCACAGGGTGGGCATCATTGGAGCTCATTGTAGTGAGTTAAAATCTCTCCTAAGCACATCTGAGGAGAAAAAGGAAGAAGAGGAGGTTGAGCAGGAGGAAACACAAGGAAGAAAAAGCAGTGACCTCAGTCTGCCACCTCTGGGAAGCCCCCAAAACAGGCTCAGTACTCAGAGCACTGTGCTCTGAAGAGCAGTGGCAGAAGGTGACTGTAATCAGAGCAACCAGCAGACGTGATATTTGTGTTGAGTGACATGGTTTAAAGTTGCTAAATAAATCACTTGGAAATTGCAGATTAAGAAGCCTAACACATTTGTCAGAGGTGGGATAGTTCAGCACACAAGGGTGACTGGAAACCTGGACTGTAATTCCTGGTTCTGTCACTAACAATTCCACCTTCATCTTAATGCCTTCATTGCACCATTTCAGAGATTATTTTACTGACTTATTTTGGGAAGTGCTTTAACACCTGCAAATGGATATGATTATTGATTTTAATGTCAACTCTCTATTTCTGAAGGGTTAGCAAAGCAACCAGGAGATGTGACTTACTGCTGTGTAAAAGTTCCTGAAATTTTGCTTTTGAAGGAAGTTACTTTCTTGAATAAGAATTCTTATTCTATTATTCTTATCTATTCTATTATTCTAGCTATCTTACCTTCTTAATCTATTTCTATCATCTCTCATTTTGTTCTTGGATATATGACTCATTGTGAAATAAGTATAGCAAAAGGAAATTCTGTTACTTAAAGTATCTACCAACTTTTCATTTAAGTTTGTATTTTAAATTATGTATATTTTTTTTATTATTGATTTCACATTATTGGGAAAGCAGATTTTAGATGTTCAAACTTAAAATACGCAGTTGGGATGTTAGTATCTTGAAACAAAATTAATTCATGGCAAGAAATGGTATCATTTTACCTGTAAGACTATCTGTACATGATGATCATTAGCATCAGGAGGAAAATTTAGGATGAAATCCTGATTTTGTCATAGTTAATAAGAATCAATGAAAAAATAATGGATGATTAAACAGTGAAAGAAAACCAGAGAGGAAATATTTCCAGCATTGTTAAGGGAAGAAATTTGACACGTCAGTGATGGTTTGGAAGTTTTTCAGCCAAATATATCTATGCTGGATAAAAATAATACAGTTTTCCCCTGCAATGTATGGTTCAGTTTTTAAAAGGATGGAATTTTGCAGCACAATTGTGATGAGAAATTTACTTCTGGAGTAACCAGTGGTCCAGGGACTAGATCACTTATATAGCAGGGCCCTGCACTGCCTTGTTGAGATAGACACTTGAACTGCAGATTCACAGCTGTTATTTAGTCTCTTCACTTAGACTGGCACGTTATATTAATGCTCAGTAGCACTGTGGCCTAGGCTTATTTTCCATGTGTTGGGTGAGTCCTTTTACCATTTGATGAGGCTGTTGTGGCCTACAGTTTCTCTCTCAAGCTTTTCACTAGAAATGTTCTGGTAAAGAGAAAAATATTTAAAATAACCTCTTGGACATTTTTGGGGACGGAAAACACATATTCTCTCCCAAAGGGGAGACATGGTGCTTTCATTGCAGGTTTTCTGAGAGCTGCGCCAAAACCTGCACAACTGTTTTTACCAGCTTAGCCAAACTTGCGTGTTTGGCCAAGTATGGATAGTGCATACTTGGCCAAACATGCAAGAGGCAGTTGTGGTATCATTGCCCTGCAACAGCATAGTTTCCCTACTGAATGATGCAGCAAGATGTTGGTTAATACCTGGAGCTGAGGGAGGGTGCAGCACAGCTTCCTTCTCTTGGTCTCGGGAGAAACATTTTAGTTCCTACCTGAGGAGACTTCTATATGCTAAAGGATGGCTACAGCTTTGTCTCTCTAGCTGTGACACTGGGCCCTCTCTGATCTGTGTATTGACATCCCAGTACACCAGTCCTTGCAAAAGCACCTTGCTTTCTCATGGCAAGCAAGCAGGCATTGTATGGGGCTTTAGAAAGAGTATGCGGGAATGTGTCCTTTGCCACACCAGTCCTGCAGGGAAATGGAGGCTGTGGTATGTGCTAATAACTGGGATTTGTGAACAGTCCCTGCGGCCTGGGGCAGAGTTTTCACAGAGTTGCACACTTGGCCTGTGGTGGGCCCAGGATAACAGGAAAGACCAAAGGGTAGTGCATGCACTCACGTAGGCAGCAAAGCTCTTGGGTGCAAAGAAGTTTTCTGTTCACTGTCAGTTGCCTACAAGGTCTGTGTCACTGCAGAGAGGAGGAAGCGTTGAGCAGCCACTGGCATTGCTCAGAAGCAGTCAATGAGCTACTCAGACCGAGAGATGATATTTTCCCCTCTCCAGATTCAGGGCAGGTTCCTCAGGTTCCTCAAGGGAAGCAGCCCAATGGAGCTACTTTCTCATCATGAAACAGTGAGCAATAAGTGCTTTTGGCATGCTGTTTTCCTTGGATAAAAGGCAGCTCTGGACCAGGCATGGTCTCAGTTACTTCTGTCTGCACCCAGAACACTCTGTATGTCTCACTCTGCAGCAGTTACCTAGTAAAATCTGATGGCCCTAGCAAGCCATAGTTTAAAATACTGTTATTGTCAGCCAAGCCCTCAGCCATGGCTTCGGGTCTAAGTTTTCTGTGGTAATCTAACAACAACCTTGAACTTTCCAGAAAGGATTGAGAAATATCTGGAAGTTCAGATCTTTTAGTCAGCAGAGTCCTTTGCCGGGCTGCCTTCTCAGCATTGAGTGTCTACTTCTGAGGCAATGTACGTCTAACACAGAGAACCCATGCTTGTTTAAGCATGTAAGAAAGACCTGGCAGCCTCTCACACATGACAGTGAGTCACCCTTCCAGCAGGAGAGAGTGAGTCAGAAAGGGCAGTTAACAAGCTTTATTTATCAGTCTCCTGTTATTTGGCCCAGGAGAATTTTACCCTGAAAAACCCACCCTTGATAATGACAGGCAGAGCTCAGACTTGTGTCATACCACTGCTGGCTTTTTTCCCATAGGCTTTGCGTACCATTTTGTATCAGGAAATTACGGCAGGCTGGCCATTTCCATGAATTTTTATTTTTAAAGGGATTCTGAACATGCCAGCTATATTGGAATAGCTCGCCTGAGCTAGGATTACCATAATGCCTCTCAGTGATGGAAAGAACCTGGAGTGTTCTATGCAGCAGCTTTTATGGAGTTCCCATTTGGTTTCTTCTAGGGTTGCTTTGCTCAGAGCCTTAATTGAACACTGCTAGCATGGCCTAGTGTCTTGGCTGGCTTTTGATTGTGTTTCTGCCACTCATAAGCTCCACATAGGGTGTGTCAGGCTTTCCACTGTAAGTGTCTATTTTCAGAAGTTCTGTTGCTCCTGTAGAAATCCATGCCAGGCAGAAAGCTGGCAGGAACCATCGCAACTCAGAAATGGAAAAAGAAACTGAGAAAACAATGATCTGCCTGATGATTAAGGAAAATCTGCCCTTGGAAATTTCAGGCTTTGTAGTTGGGAGAGAGATGGCAGTGCAACAAGAGAAGCCATCTAGATGTGGGGTGGCCATAATGTGTAGTTGGGTGTCTTGAGGTATGGAAAGAAGCAAAGTACGCTCAAGCCCATTCTACTCATGTTGCAGACAGCTTTGGAGCAGTGACCTATAAAGGCAGCACCCATGTAGTAGCAGGACTACAGGGCTCAGCAAGTTCTCTGTGAGCCAGCATGGCAGGACCTGGAGGTCTTGCAGGTTCTTTGTCTCTGATGCCTTCAGTTCAAGACCTGTTCTTCTTGTCCCATTAGGGGCCAGTGCCTGATATACATGGAAAACCAAGGCAGTCTGAGCCTGCCCATTTTTCTGGTCAAGACAGGCTAAAAGCAGCATTTGACCAGCAAAAACTAGGTTTTGCCCATTTCTGCTTGGACTCACACAGTCACCTTAGTAGTGTTAAGCTCCAGGGGACTAACACTCCTATATGTATTCAGGAATGTAGTGATAGGACAAGGGGTAACGGGTTAAAACTTGAACAGGGGAAATTTAGATTAGATATAAGGAGAAAATTCTTTCCTGTTAGGGTGGTGAGGCACTAGAATAGGTTGCCCAGGGAGGTTGTGAATGCTCCATCCCTGTCAGTGTTCAAGACCAGGTTGGACAAGGCCTTGGGTGATATGGTTTAGTGTGAGGTGTCCCTGCCCATGGCAGGGGGGTTGAAACTAGACGATCTTAAGGTCCTTTCCAACCTTAACTGTTCTAGGATTCTGTGATTCTATGAATGTGGCTCTTTGTACTAATAGCCAAATGGGGACTCACTGGGTGCTGCTGTGGTGAAAAAGATGTCACCATGTATCCTGATCCTGCTAATGTCCCCTCTCTGCCTGGGGGGATATAGTTTTTAGTCTGTTTTCTTTCCCCTCTCAGACAAAACCTTGACAGAGTTCTGAAGATGCTCCTTATTGCTCCTGTTTGTTCTGTGGCTTGTCTCCTTTGCTTTGTCAAAGCCAAATCTGCAACTAATGACCAACCATCCCTCCAGCCAGGAAGGACCAACAGCAGCTCCTTTGCACAGACAGCTGCCACCATCTCCTCACTTGCTCCACACCTGGCCACGGGTGTGTTGCTTGTGATGCTTTTTTACCTGCAGGTGTGCTGGGAGAAAGAAAGCTGCAGTCAAACTGGAAATGGGACCAGGCAGTGATTTGCAGCAGGAAGAGGCTGTCAGTCTGGATTTCCTTAAGCAAGGCTTCAGATGTCGATGGTATGTGCTCCTGCTCTGGCTGGGACTAAGGCCTTCTTCATCTTGTAAACAAACTGCACTGGAAGCACCGTGTACCAGTTATAGCTGCTGTGGCTCAGACTAAGTTGTAAATGTTTGCAGTGAGATTTTTACAGCCTGAAGCAAATAAACCGAACCACAGTTCACAGAAATAAAGATTTTCTTACCCTGCTTCTTCCTCCATGTGAGAGAGAGGATTTAAAGGTTCAAAGAACAGGCTGTAGGTGTACTGCCACCTGTTACAGCCTTTCTGTTTGGAAAAGACTGATTTTATAAATGTAGTGTATTTCTCCCTGTGATCTTGTTTATTTACAGAAGGGAAGATGAGCCTTTTTCCCTTTCCTTTAATACAGTAGAAACAAAGACAAACTAGTTTCTGGACACACATTCCCAAGTCTGCTCAAAAGGGTCCCGCTTTATGTGGCTCCTTGCTTTTCACTCTCCTGTACCAATGCAGCACAAGCACATAAACCATGACCATGTCTGGGCAAGCAGGAAAGTCCCTTACTTTGTAAAGTCTTGCCATGGAAGCTAGGTCTTTG